CATATATAATCTTCATGCAAGTGTTTAACTGTAAGCAGTTGTCAATTATAATCGATTAGTAAAGAATGCTTTTGATCTTAATTAAATGGTACGGTATTTACGCTGCTATAAGTCTTTTCATGTATAGCATTAATAGTGGTTTATGGCGTTTAGAAAAACTTTCCAGATAATAGTTACATGATTTCAATCGTCGATTGGTAGAAAACGGGGGTAATTTGTGGGGTATTCGTTAGAAAGCTTGCCAATAAATAATGGCAAATGATGGATAACAGTTTGCAGCAGGCGGCTGCTTAGCATGCATCTCGATGCAGTTCTTAATATAACGGGGCATCCAGGCGCGACTTTCTCTTTGTTGCAGAGGAATAATTGTTCTGCGCTTAATTTTGTTGTAGCTAATATTGCGCGTCTTGTGGTAACGTTTATCCTAATAATATTTTAAATTTATACGGTTTTTCGGAATTTATGTGCGAAATTAAATTTGAAATTTACCATGACCTTTTAAGTGTAGGAAAACATCGCGAGGAAACCTGCACATATACATAGCAATTTAATGATATGTGTGAACCCAACCTTCATTGGGCCCGTGTGGGAATAGTCCAAGCCCTCTCATTGTGAGAGGAGGCCTGTGCCCAGGAGTGGGACTACATATACGCTAACTGTTATATTATTATTATTGTATCTATTTTAGACCAAGGTGCCTAAGGTCTAAAAGATAAAGTTTTTGATTAATTATTATTATTAATTTATATAGGTATTACAGTTTCGGAATTCTAAAGACCTCCTTTCAAAAGAAGGTCATAATTACCTATTCATACATCTTTCTCACTAAGACAGATACAGTAAAATGAAACAACGTTTAATTAATAAACTTTTAAGCAATTTTGGCTATATCTGTGATATGATGTATGTTTCAATAATGCTCTGTATTAATAGAATGTATTCGTTTTTGAGAGTTCTACAACTGCTATGTTTACTCGACTCTGACACAATGTACATTAAAACATCTAATAAAATATATAATAATAAACTCATGTCCACATGCACTAAAAGTAAGTCCGTTTTAAACCAATGCTTTCAATACAAAAGACTCTTACTTTAGTTTAGCGCAAGTGGACATTACACATGACACGGCTTTTCTTATCGTTTTGAAGAGTCTATACAACCTCAAATGGCTTTAATGTAAAACAATAAATTCTGCGATAAAGCCAGTGTCCCTGCAGCTCGACCCAAACAAAATAAACCGTATTAGTACGGGAAAAATTTTAATTCGGGCTGAGTAGTATCGACTCTTAAGTCAATATTGGTTGTCAACTTTCCATTTCACAATAATGTAATTTACTCATATTATTCAAGTGATAAATTACGACCGTGCTCGTGATACCTGCGCGTGAGACGATTATGTAAGACGAATTGAAAAGGCGCGAAGTAGACCATTGTTGAATAAGTCATTTGACGATTTATTACAATAACAACCGCCGTACAGCCGCCGTAAATCTATATAGAACAAGCGTGCTACAAGAAATGTTTTTTTTTTTATATATATTTACTTTCTATTTTACCTAAGATATAAAATCTAGTTTGTAAATGTCTAATCCAATAGCAAAAAGCCCGAACACCTAATCATGTAGTTCACGATTCTGTGAACTGGCAACCGATGAAGAAAAAATCATGTATAATAGCATCTGGTTTATTAAATAAAAATACGTAGTGTACATGTACATATATGTGTAATAAAAATATCTAAAAACTTGACGTAAACAATTTTTTTCTTCATACTGTTAAGTTGTCAAAATTGAGATAGTACCGATTGTCAGTTCACAGTCGATATAATAATAATAAAACAAACTCACAGGGAAAACCAGTGTCGCGGTTGCCATGGACCACACATAGACAACCACAAATTACACCCAAAATCACGAGAAAAATAAATGTAGGCCATACACATATTTCTCCCGGCCTAGGAATCGAAACCAGGACCTCTGCGTGGCAGTCCAGCATGGTAACCGTTCGGCCACAGAGGCAGTTAATATACTACATATACACAATTGTACTGCGGTTTTATAGGAATTAATTCTACTTGAATTATCACATCACTGTAACAAGGCAGTACTTTTTTATGATAAGTGATGGAACGAACAAGTCGTGCAGCTGGTATTAAGTGACACGCCTGTCTATAAATAACAGTTGCAGTGCCGCTCAGAGCTTTAAATCGCAAAGGACTGAAAGAGTACTGCCACTGCACGTCATTCTGAGAAATAAGTTGAAAAGTCCCATATGCTTGTAATTTCACCAACAGCACCTTTAGTGATGCTCACATTACTGCTGGGCTTCTTCTTCTTCTACTAAATTACGTATTTTGGAATGCCAATGCGAAGTTGTTGATGTCTTTGTATGGTGATGACCTAATAGACCGTTTCGTCTAAATTCGACTTTCACTGCATTTTTTTTAAATTAAAGGATTAGGTTTAGATTTCTCTGTGTTCGGTTGCACGTAACAATTTTTAAGTAATTGCAAAGTTTCTTTGTCACAATCGAGTTTGTGGAACCGCAATCATTTCGACACAATATCGAAACTTGGGTTAGGCGACCTTTCACACGCTTCCCAAACGAGAAAACAATAAAGAACGGGCGATGTTTTCTACCGAAATGTCTATATTCCCACGGCCTATTATTATGACCAAATGTGCTGCTTCTCAGATTACGCAAATTTGGATCTTAAGATAACGATTGTTTAATCAGTGATTAATTTTGTATGGGTAACATTTTAAAACTTTGTTCTATAGATTATACTGATGGACAGAGTTATTTGTAAAATACTAACAACCTCACAGAGACTTATTACTAACATGATAAACAACAACTTTTGTCCCCTGACATGTTAAAAAACAAGTTTTTGTTGTACCATCTGACACTTTTTAGATCTGTATTTGGTAGTACCCGACGATCCCCACTAACACTTCTCCGTTTCGCATCGGACTTTTATTTACTCTATAGTCCATTTGTTTAGGTACTTAACTAAATGTAAACAATTTTGAGATGTCTATTTAATGAAATATAAATGTATAAAATTTTTTTTACTAACCTGCGAGTGACTGTATTTTGTTAATTTATTTTTATTTATTTATTTATGATAAGGTTACAAAGATCCATGAATACGTACCTTATGGACTAAACATATAATATAACACTATTTATTTTTAAACACGTATGGATTAATTAAACATTAGGAACGAAAAAATAGCAATGTGAAGTCGTTGATGTCTTCTGTACGTGCACCGAGCCATTACCAGCCGCATTTTAGTGTAGAGTGCTAACTTACAAGCTGTAAGTTGCTTGAGTACTTAGAACACTTTATCAAGTGAATGTTTGCGTTCCTTAATTCAAATGTAACGTTCACAGTAGAGAGAGATCACGAACTGCGCTTTCGACACGTTCTGTTCTAGGTATCTCCAAAGGCTATATTACATGTATGTACACATACTTCCTATATAGAAGGTAAAACTTCACTGCGATAAAAGCGACCAACATTTTGGACATATATGTGTTTGTACCATTGTGAACAAATAAATTTATAATACAGAAAATAGCTTTTACTTGAAATAAATTAGAGTTATATATAAGTAGAATTAGTACATGTAAAGCACTTATAAAAAAATTGTAGTACTACCACCTTACCTATTTCTGCCGCCAAACAGTAATGTCAGCATTACTGTGTTCGTTCCGGTTTTGAAGGGTAAAGGTGCTGGTGAAATTACAGGCACATGGGACTTGTCAACGTATGTCTCAGGGCGACGGGCGCAGTGGCAGTGCCCCTAAGATATTAGTGATTTAAAGCTCTGACTGCAACTGTTATGGACAGGCGTGTAGTTTACCATCAGGCGCACGACTTGTTCGTCGCGACATTTGATATTATAAAAAAATAAATAAACAAATTCCCAAAATCGAAAAGTAGAAGTTGTGAGTATTCGTACGACGAGTTAGAACTCAGTTTGTTCACTGCATTTATTTTTGTAAACCTACATATAATATGACTCGGGTCGGAAGTAACAACAGCATCCTAAAAATGGTTGCAAGCAGACTTGATTGTCCAATTTAAAGTACTGGGTTGGGCAAATAAAAATCTGGTTTTACATATATTAAATAAATAATATGTTGTGTCGTTACGTTGTATATACTAACCTATTCTAAGTGAAAATGTTAGTAATAATAAGTTATATGGGTCTATGCCTGAAATATATAATTCTATTCTATTCTATATAAATGTAGTTACGTGGGTATTGACGACCTTTATAATATATATCTATGTGTTTATCACAGTACTTTATCATCATGTACTATGCAGTGAAAGTAAGATGTAATATTCCGAAGCAAAAACTATGAAAGTACTACACCTGAGAGAATAATTCGCGTGATAGGTCAAAGTGGAATATGGGAATTAGGTACCTCTATTATTAATGTAAGTGTAGGTTCTGTTTAGGTGTGGTTTAAGTGGAACTTAGAAAAAAAGATAGATACAGTAATGGATGACGGAAGACATTACCATTATACTAAATAAGAACACTGTGACTGTCGTCTTCTTTATGTGTGAACAAACAAATTACACGGAGGCTAATGAGCTTAGTGAAAAGGTATTATTTGTTTATACAGAAAGCAAAAAAAAAATTCTCAAACTCGTGATAGAAAATTATTTCAAAAATTGAAATTTGATACTAAGTTTTGGTTGGAATATACAAACTTTATTTTTCGAATTTAAAATTATTTCTGTAGTTGTTTGTATCATGAGTAATGCGATAGTAGTCTATGAAAGGTGCAGCATATTGGTTACAAAATGCTAGAGTCTATTTTATTTGATCTTGTAGGTATACTGTTAGATTTTTGAGGCAGGTAAGTATGCAGACTTACACGAATAGTACAAAACGTTTAAAGTTCTGAAAGCATCGACGCGCAAAACAAACACAGTGTTTAGAGCTCGCCGTTGTATCTAATTGGTTGGCAATTACCGTGACTCTCCACACGAGGAAGGTGGTATGGTCGCGCGGCACCGTCCGGAACGCCGCCTCAGCTGCGCGTGCGCTTCCGCTCTCATCCTCCTGGAAATTATGCATTATTATAACAATAGGAATAATTAAATGCCAAATGTAAAAGAAACGTAGTAATAAAGACTTCTTAGCCAAAATAAGTACTTCTAGACACACTTGGCATCTGAGATCAATGTTACAGAAATGTTACGTGGCCTATAGTTTTATGATACCATGTCTCCGCTCAACGGATTTAGGAAAATGCAAAGAAAAACTTGAAGTAAGCAACCCAGACAACAGACATCCGTTCTTCAAAGAATATGAACTGTACAAACAAAATACGATCTATAAACCGTCTCGGGGTATCTTTACAAATTATGTAAGTATAGGTAATGAAGCCTTTTTAACAAAGAAACACATTTGTTATAAAATCAACTTTAAATTCGTGTCAATAAAACACAAATTCACGATTTGATGCTACTGTGTTCCAAAATAGTCAGTATTACTGTGGAGGCTCAACCTACCATGTGACATCTCAATTTAGCTGACATCATCTTATTTCAGAAGATAGATACACTGTCAACAATTAATAAAATACTCTTCATAAATCAAGATAAAACCAACCAAAGATAATCCCGTTTGTTAACAAAGTTAACGGTCAACTAATATCAAGCACGTTACACAAGTTACCTTGAGGATTTCTTGTAATAAACCACGAGCATCAGACCATGAATGTTCAATGCAGATTATTAACAATGAATTGAATTACAGAATAGTCTCGACTTTAAATGGGCGAACCCTTCTATCTGATAGGCATTCTAAAAGATATCTACGGGGTTGGGTCATTGTATTGATGTGGGTGTGACCAGGGGCGCAGCGATTTGCGAAGTCGTTTTATTCAGCTGTACAAAATGGGAACAGTGCGGTTAACGATAACGTATTCTAGGCTAGCATAATAAAAAAGGAGTGGCTTGCGAAATTAGATGGATTTTTACTAAACATGCGACGCAAATCTATCTGTAACTTGGCCTACGTAGCCAAAAACGTCTCAATGCAACGTCTCAGGCGATATAACCGATAAACACATACTAGCGTCTTTCTATATTTATGTTACAAAGGACAGAAGACTAAGCATGACCAATAATTATACACCTGACATTTCTTTTCTAACACAGTAGTGCTTTTCATAACCAAACAAAGACGTCTCGACTAATTAAGAAGCGAACGGACGCATTGAACTCGCGTGAAATGAATCGTGCAGAGGATTACAAAACTTTTACTTACAAGCTTTCACCTACTGATTAGCGTTTAATCTTTTGTGAGCTGTAATTAAAACAAGAATGCGTAACGTGCGAGTTTAACAAGCATTGCGTCTAGATAAGTAACAGTTTACCCATGTAAACACAACATTGAACTGTACAAACTACAATGGTTAATTTCAAATTTCACACAATAACAACGTAGGAATAATAAACAAGATGCCACTGTTTATAAACAAAGTGCACGATAATTACTTGGTCTGCTCCTATCTCCAGGATGTGCATTTTCGTGTCGGTGGTCAGGGCTGTACTGGTCCCATCACCGCGCGAGCTCGTCGTTCGCTCCCCGCTCTTTCTGCCTATTAAAGAATCCACTACCGCTCGAGACGACCGCAACGTCCGTGCTATCTCCACAGACTAACCAACGGCCAGTGAGAGACGTGAAAAAAGAAAATTGTTTCACGCTACTTGCGCTTACATATTTTAATAAACGAATAAATTAATTCCCGCGAAAGTCTGGGCGGCTCGCTCGATTGATAGGTGGGTGCAATCGCGTTTTCATCTCGGCTTCGGCAGGCTACAACGAGTCAATTATAAACGATAAATTGAAAAGATCGGGTTAGTTTTTATTAATATCATAAATTTTCCGTCACTTATTTCACGACAGGTAACAGTATAGTTATATCTACACGTTTGTGTTTAAGGTTTACAATCATTGCGGTCTTCAGTATTTAGGTAAATTCTTTTTATTAAATTTTGTTATACAATTCATAAATGTAAATTACTATTATGCTAAATTATTGTTAAGAAGAGACGCACCACATACACAACAAATCTGGTTGGGCAGAGATTACTTATTAATATTTAGGTTTATGAGCCTGAAGTATCTACAATTACTAACCGACTTTAAAAAAAGAGAGGTTCTCAGATCGACTGTATGTTTTTTTGTATGTATGTTTACGCGATAACTCCAGCATTTGCGAACCGATTTTGAAGATTCTCTTTTGTTGAAAAGAGGGTACCTCAGACGTGGTCCCTTTTAAATTTGAAGAAAATATTCCACTTCTAAGGCTGGCAAACCAGGGGATCAATGACTTTTGAGGTCGGTTTTTAGTACTCTGTACTGAGATTATGTTTCTAATGTTTTTATAAGTACCTAGGTACTATTATAGAGATGTACGTCGCGCCGCCACACCTCCTCAAGTATCACCATCTTTGTTAATTATTTAACTATATTTTAAAATGAATTACGGAACATATACGCACATCCTATTATCTACTAGATTTAAATTGAGAGCTTTTAGTTTGGAGTTCTTCGGTTTTTGCGATCGCACATAGTAAATGAAACTATTTTTTTTAGATCCAATTCGTGTATATTTATATTTTCAAACAAACCAACCTTTAACAAGTCCCAAGATCCTAGTCAGCTCCTTGACTTTGACTCCATGACCTTGGAACCTATAAAGGGTCCGAAAGGTTGGCTTCTTTGAAAAAACAGCGATATAGACCAAAAAAATATTTTCATAGTACCTGTGCAGGTACTGCTAAAGTACAAGTGAATGTGTAAAAAACGTTGAAAATGAAAGAGTGATTGAAATAATTGCTTTGTATTTTTATAAACACCTGCAAAATATTAGCGCAGATTTTCGCTGAATACACCGTCTCTGGCGATTTTACTACCGGCTCACACAGTGTTGGGTCATGGAAAAAATTCCATTTTGAAAAATTCACATTTTTGCAAACATTTTTCCTAAATTTTTCCACATTTGACAGTCAAAAGACTTGTAATACTGAACGAAACGATGGAGCCATTATTAAGATTTTTTTACCTATGATTTTTTTTCACTATTGTCCAATAATTTTAAATATTATCGTTCTAACTTACTTTTAGCTATACAATTTTACTTCATAATTTACGCTAAATAAAACCTCAAAGATATATCTAAACCTAGAACTAGTTATTTTAATTCAGAAAATTTTCCGGATAATTTTCCATTACCTTTTTTAAATTTTTTGGAAAATTATTCAACAGTAGGCGCACATGCCTAATTGTATACTAAATAAATAATAATAAAGAATTGTACGTACACAAGTAGTAAACGCGATTATTAAAGGGACACTAAACAAACTTCGACTGTTTAAGAAGATAGCGAAATAATAGCATTTTCTATTTCTACTATCAAATAAAAAATATTGAATTCAAATGTGGCACCTGATATGCATCCATCAACGTTTGCTTCTCTCTTTATGGTGTTGTCACGATAGAATTTACAATATAGTCCTTATTACAATTTTTTTTTTCACCTTTAATAAATCCAGAGAATTTTCACTTAACACCTAGCTCTCTTTTAGATTCAGGAACTGTTGGAATAAAACAGTAGTTATATGATAGTAATGATTTAGTATGGTCAATGTATAGGACCCATTTAAAGCCGTCAATATTGTCGGAAGTGGAAAATCAGACTGGCATGAGATGAAAATATCACTATGAGATTCGCTCATCACCTGTGGGCAGGATATACGCACGGTCGCGCACTTTGTTTGCTCCTATATGACTATGACCACATTCGCTTTCGTTTGGATACGGTGTGTCATGCATGTCTGTAAACAAGTGGTGTAAGTATTTTAGATCAGGGTTGTTGCTGATACAGGCTTTTTTACACATCAGCGGATGCTGATTTCCTGACCTTAACATCAGCGGATGCTCATTTCATGCAAAAATAGCGCGAAAAATATATATCACTGAATCATTGACATGAAAAAGCTTTCTATTTTTTTAATGACTTTGTGACATTTATTAACAAAAGAACCAATCTGCATAAAAACAATAAATCCGCCTAGCTTAATCGTTGCGGAATTTTATCAAAGTTATATTCTAGAAACAACAACTGGGTCCACAGGCTGAGCTGCTTTTTCAGCTAACAGTCTGTTTCTGGAAGGATTGTAATTTATAGCGTGCGTTTTAGGTTATTTCACGACTCGAGCATTGAATATCAGCATCGATGAATATGGTTGCTGATGCGGATATTTTAATTCATGCAGATTATAAGCGAATGCTGATATTCGCAACAACCCTGCTTTAGACACCTAGTACTACGGACAAATGAATAATGTTTTTATTATCATATAACCATATCATAATAAAAACATTATAGGTTTTTATTACCACGATATTAATATTTTTGTGAAAATACTCCACTAGTTTGGTGTTATTGATACAAAGATCAAACAAACACAAAGAAAAATTCGTTCGATCCGGCTGGGTTAGTCATGGGCCCTGATTTTAATTCAAATCGGAATCTATCCCATCGGGTAGCCCATCCGCAATATTATAAGCCTCGACTCAGAAAAGACCCAGTTTCCGATCGGGAGAGGCAATCAAAATCAAACTGCCGCGCCGGTCCGGCAAACAGGTACTCGTTCGAATGACTATCCTTTTAATATTGCTGATGAATTAGGTTGGCGTTCTGTGTATGTTAAATTGAATTCGAGAAAAGTGTATAATTTTCGATTCCAATACGTGCTTTTCATGATATGTGGCAAGGATACGCCTATCCATAGCAGTTGCAGTGTGTTTCAGAGCTTTAAATATCAAAGATTTGAGGGGAACTGCCGCTGCGCCCTTCACTTTGAGACATGCCTGTAACTTCACCAGCACCCTTCAAAACTGGATCGCACTAATGCTCACATTACTAGTTGGCGGCAGTAATAACTAAGGTGGCAGTACTTCCCTGGACGAATTCTTTCACAAGGAGCTCTATTGCTATAATTATTAATACAAAGATCGAACACTCAGAAAAAATTCCTTCGATCCGGCCGGATCGCTATCGCTACTAATGATCGATCATATTTGTATCTTCGGCCTTTGCTCAGCAGTGTGACTCTATACAGGCCAACAAAAAAATATGTATACGATGCAAGACGTGCCAATTGTTCCTATATGTTACGATATTTTTTCCTACTTTCGTAGGTACAATAAACATTAAACATTGTGTGTAATCGTTTCACGTAACAATTAACCCAGAAAATCGACCACCGTTATTTTGATACATACAGCAGCTTGTATGCTACAATATCTACATCAAATTCATATCGAATCGATTCGCTACAGTCGAGTAGACATAAATTGACCCATATTGATTTTTTGTGACAATGACCGTTCAAATGCAATGGAATTTTGCACGGTCTGTAATCCACGCTTGGTTGTAAGTACGTACTGATATGTACCGTGCTTGAATGTGTAATTGATAACTATGCTACTACGGAATTCTTATGCAATAGCATGGAGATGTTACTATTTTAGTAGCAGTAGAGCTCCTTATGAAAGAGTTCGTCCGGGGAAGTACTGCCGCCTTATCTATTTCTGCCGCCAAGCAGTATTGTCCGCATTACTGTGTTCCAGTTTTGAAGGGCAATGGTGCTGGTGAAATTACAGGCGCATGGGACTTGTCGACATGTCTCGGGATGACGGGCGCAGTGGCAGTGTGTCTCAGATCTTTGCGATTTAAAGAGCTGATTGGCACTGCAACTGTTATGGACAGGCATGTAGCTTATCATCAGGCGCACAACTTGTTCGTCCCGTCAGTTGATATTATAAAAAAAATTTAGTAAAAATTCTAGAGCAATGCAATCTCTTTAAAACCGATCACTGAATTGAACTACAAAAAAAAAACCTAAAATATAAAATAGTTGGATGTTTTTTATTGTATATACTATATTTAAGAGGCGCAACTTCCATATCTAGCTATGTTTTGTAACAATTAGGAACATACCACCAATCTTCAGCAGATAAGTGTCAATTCTTTGTCAAATTGACAATACATAATGTGATAGTAGTAAAATTTTTCGTCCTTCGGAATGGCTGACTATACTTAAACAAAGGACACGATAAAGATGTAAAATAAGTAAATTATCAACAAAAAGGATTTATAGTTTTGTCAACCGTGACCATGGGACCTGCAAAGGGCCCGAAACGTCGGTTTGTTTGAAAAAACAAATATACGCGATTTAAATCCGGAAAAATAGTTTCATTTCCTATGTGTAACAATCGCGAAAACCTAAAAAGGATTTAATTATTATTTTGATTAACAAGTAGCACAAGCGTAGCCCCATCACTAATATACAATGTTTTTTTTTTAACTTGGACAATATGGGGAAGGGGAAATCCGAAACTATACGAGATACACGGAATCTGCCCTATGAACCATTAAGTCCCAGGTTCGATTCCCGAGCCGGGAGAAATATGTATATGGCCTACATTTATTTCTCTCGTGAGTTTGGGTATAATTTGTGGTTGCCTACGTGTGTGTCCATGGCACCCGCAATATAGGGTTTCACTAGAGCGGGGTAATTAAAAAAAAATTGGCATAGTAAATTTTTTGGTCAAGCGTGAGGTGTCTATAAAAATGAATAAAATTGATTATTACTTTTTCAGTGTTGATCGACTCAGTTTCATGTAAGTATCATTTCATTGTATAGGAAGAAGAACATACTCAGATCCTGACTTGAGCATTCAGTAGAGTTCTAGAATACGACCCTTAGTTTCGTGTATAAGGATCACTTTATTGCATTGGAAGAAAAATTCGGGTAAGCAGCAGTTCGTCAAATTTATTAAAAAGTTTTTTCATTCAAAATGAATCACATTTTATTCAATTTGACCAACTTCTACTGCTCCCATGTTTTATTCCGATACAATGAAATTATCTCTATAAGAAACTAAGTGTATCAGCATTAAAAACATTTTTGTCAATTTTATTCATTTTGTATGAAAAACATTTTATTAAATTTGACCAATCGGGTCCAGGATAAGACGGGAGACTATGCTGGTCATAGTATCTACTTATTATATTGTTGACAATGATATAAAAACATGAATAATTTAAACAAAGCACTGAGAGAAGTAACTGACTTGTCGTTGAAAAGGCAAGAAAGAACAAAATATATATTTTGCGAAAAATATAGATCGAGTCTATTTGACAAGGTATTGGAAGAAATGTGTTGTATGTTCTAAGGAGAAACGAGTGCGCAACTCAACGTGAGTATACATAAAATACAAAGGAACAACGATTTCAAATAATATTTTCGGTGTCTGTCTTTTAAGTGTCGAGATGAACTAGTCGTGTCCCTATTGGTAAGCGATACGCTTATCCATACCAATTGCAGTGCCATTCAAGAGCTTGAAATCACAAAGATCTGAGGGACATTGCCATGGCATTCGTCATACATAAGTTGACAAGTCCATCGTGCCTATAATTTCACCAGCATCCTTACGTGTCAAAATCGGAACGTAATAATACTTACATTATCGCTTGGCGGCAGAAATAGGGAAGGTGGCAGTACTTCACTGGATGAACTCTTTCAAAAGGAGGTCTACACTACTTAAACTTTTGTCTTTAATTCTTTAATTGACATATTTGTTTTAGTAGGTATGTATTGATCTAAATGTAATCGTGGGCATAATAGCGCTATTTTTCTAATACCAAGTTTCATAGTATTATTTAACAGCAACTTTAGAATAAAATTAAAAAAAACGGAAGCTTTGTGCTCGTTAAGTTGCCTTTTTGTCCCCGTACTCTTTTCATGTTTATATGTAGTTACCCGTCACGAACGATTGTAAACCTGAAGCAAATGAATAGCGGATGTTTGTCATTACAAATTTGTGATCAAAAAGTTTATCTATGTATTCAGGTGTTTTGTCTAAATTATTTATTTTCAAAAGTAAACAATCATGTATAACGACGATGGGTCAGATAAAGAGAGTGAGTACGAAGAAAGGAGTCCAGAGGACACCCCAAATGTTACCAAAAAATCTTTGTCGACGGTAGGATTCAGAAATAATCCAGAGAACCAAAACGCTAGACCACTGGCGATTCGGGCGACGCAATCGTTCACGGGAGCGGTTGAAGAGCTTAGACTGTGTGGAAATTTTCAACGAATAAATTTATGCAATCGAATGAACATTTCCACGCCGAAGATAGCTACGATATGCCCTTGTGGGTGTCTCCTTCGTCCAGCCACCACAGGCCCGTTTAGAACAAGAGAGAAAAAGACGTTAGCTCTACACGTCGTATCCCCAGAGGTGTTAACTCACCATGGCTATAACTTCGAGCCCTGCCAAATAGCTATGTTTTGGAAAAAAGATTGCAGAATGTTTCTTTGGAAAGGAAAATCCAAACTGAAGAATGTCGTCCATGCTGATTCTCATAAAAACTAATTTTACAATTTACATTTCAAATTTTTATACTAACATTTGTAAATATCAACTCTTGATTGAGAACAAAAAAGTTATATATTTAAATGTGAAATAAATACAAATTGTTTCAATACTAACGAATTTCATTACATCACAAATTATAATGTTAACAATAAACTATTTTTGTGTTCAAGATTTACTGCAAGGTCTGAACTGTGTCTAATGGTTGCTTCTCAACGCCGCCCAAGTGATTTTCCACTACTGCACCACACGAGAATCTGACATAGTCTATGATTTCCACTTTATTTTGTTCTAAAACTTCCTCTACCGTCAGGGATGGATCTAACAAGTATTCTTGGAAAATGAGACAGGTTTCATCATCCGAATTCTTTGCTGGTTTATCAATATCCTTAGTGCCAATCTTTTTAGGGTCACAGCCAACAATATGTTGACAAAGTTGTCTTCCAATATCTTGAGTATCATTTGCTTGTTTGTATGCTAATAACGCGCCATATTTGCCTGCTGAATAATCGCCAGGGGAATTAGGCGCCGGGTGGGTATACCCTGCGATTTTGATGTCATCACTGTTAGCTTTCCAGCATTCAGCGCGCCGGAGCACCGCATTTTCTCCAACAGAGCCTATGAATAGAGCTAGTATTTCAGAAAGCTTTTTTCCTTCTGCGGTTAGGTTTGCTAGCTGTTCGCTGTCTAGTTCCATCTGTAATAAAATAAACAGTTTTTTTTTTAATTACCGATTTGAAATTATGTGCACCACGTTACGTTATAAATATACATTTTATGCGAAGAAATAGCTATTTCATGGTCTATTTCATATTTCAATTTTTATTTAACCATATTACTCATGATAAAATATGACCAATCTAGAAATAATGTTCCAGGTGATTAGTCAAGTGTGTTACAAGCAGTTGTAAATAACCAATAATAATTAGCAAAACAATGGATACCTTTGTCACAGGTCCCTTTGATTTCAAATGGTTGTGTGTAAATTTGTAGCAGGCCTGTGTAGCACTCTCCATCAGTTTATGGAATTTTTCATTTTTCGCAACGAAGTCTGTCTCACAGTTGACTTCAACAAGTACACCGTGGTGTTTGTCGAATTTGATAGCGATAAGTCCCTGAAGGGCGGTGCGGCCGGCTAGTTTGGTGGCCTTGGCCCAACCCATAGCCTGTGCTTGTTCATTCAACCAAGCCTCTGCCTGTAAAAAATTATTTTTCTTTTAAATTTTTTTCACTGACTTTTATTTAAATGATTTATACTTAGACAATATGCATACATATTTATATGGATGTTGCATTTTAGTACAATGAGTTAAGCAATAAGTTATGAATTTAATCATGTTATTTTATAATAATATTTAATAACTGGATATTTTTTTAATTTACTTTGTTTCAAAAAATTTTAGCACATAACGACCGAAACTTGTTAATCACTATGCAAAAAAACAGAAAATAGAAGGCTGGTACTACCTACCCCTATATGGGAACCAATTTAGGAAAGTTCATTTTCCACATTGTTCCTACTGGGAAACAAACCGGAAGCTCCATTCATATCAAGAACTACTTGTATACAAACTGTACCTATCTATTCCTACAATTACTTCATATTTGAAGAATATAACTGTTATAAGTTATTTAAATGCGTCAAGTATATAACCAGAAATAGAGACGAAATAAGGGCCATCCTTCCCTGGCAACTCATCAGGCAAATGGGCCTTATATCACTTTTAAATATCAAGTTTCATTTGCGCTGACATCACAAATTGGAAAACTGAAATAGTACAGCACCAACAACTGACCTGTGTGTGTGTGTCTCCGTATATTCCAAAAATATTCTGTATTTATTGTAATAAAGATAATATCTCTAACAATGGGGGCTGTTCCATTTGGTGGTGTGAGAAAAACAGCAAAACATCTAATATCAAAACATATGAAATCACATTTCATTGATAATTAAATATGAACTATGTAATTTTGCAATTTTCGACACCCGTCACTTGTTTCGAATTTGGGCTGGCCTATCAGAGCGCAGTTGTCACAGTAATGCTTTGGCAGAATAGTTTTCAAACAAATTATATGACATTTCATCTTTGTTTCAGGTTATATACTCGATGTTTAAATATCATGACAATACTAATTAGTGTAAGAAACACAAGATTTTATAACTATTATATCTATTTTAGACTCTCTATTATTATTATTAGGGTGGCTTCATTAGGGGCCAATGCCCCTCATCACTGCGACCAATAGCTGATCTATTGTGATGACCAATAATTATAGTTCAGAGCCAAGACCAACAGCATTAAGGAACTGAAGGACTCTTAACACATTAGTTAACTTTGTAGGTTCAAATTATGTCTTTATATATACATATGTAATTGATATCTAAGACTAAATAATTTCTTACATTATCTGCATTATTGTTATGCATCTCGAGGGCCTTCTTGCAATTGGCAATGGTGTATCCAGTCTTCTTCCGTAACTTGGCTAGTAGCGAGGATTCTGCCGCTTGGCAGACCAGACTTGTATGCAGTTTCCGCAAGAACTGGAATATCATCTGCAGGTGTAACTTTAACTTTAGTAAGCCATAACAGGTGCCAAGCAGCACTTAAGTATAGGTAAATAATTGTACTTGAATGTTTTCAAATTCACAATAAACTGTTTTGTATCTCTCCTAGAACTGGTATACAACTTTGAAAAACTCATGACAAGAAAAGTTTTAACTCAAACAATGTAAACATATCCCATATGTTAAAACATAAATAAGAGAGCACTTACACAAAACAATCTGCTTTAAACTTTTTTTTATTAGTTACCCATTTTGTTAGGATTTATCTAACTCAGACCCCACAGTAAATAAACAATTTTGTGCTGAAGTGTGCACTAGCATGTAGGGGCCCCTATACTGAGATTACTTAAGCCTATGACATCATGATTATAGAATGAGTGAGACAGATAGAGCTCTGTTAGCACTATGAAGGCCAAACTACACACCTATAACAGGATTTAGTGTTATAGGTAGGTATATAATAAAGCACTCCGTGTTGGTATATTTATACGTTCATGAGATACATTACACGCTCCTTAGCTTCAAACTTATACCTTGTTAGATTAAACTTTGATTGCTTTAAATACTGCTTCACTCGCTATATATAACCTAAAACTGAAGATAGCATACACTGAAGTATTTTTGACACGTCCCTTTAAGTAAAATGATAATAAAAACTTTGTGGTGCATATGAGATTTAAACTTTTTCACAGGTACATAAAAGAAAAAAAATCGATGGAAACAAACGAAGATAGTTTCCATGGAAATATCAACGAAATATCCTCCGTTTTTTGTGTCATCGACGAAAACAAGATTTTTTTTGTCATTTCGTATTATAATTAAAATAAATATAAGTAAAATCATTAGGGAATTGTGTAAATAGTCGTTAAATAAAATCGTGAAGTCGACGTACCCTATAACGGTGGTTATAAAATAACAAGTAAGTGCAATATCACGTAGACGAATAGTGTGACTTTAGAACACAGTTTATTTAGAATCTCTTAACTTAAATATTGAAATTTTCGTGCTAAATATTAATATAAATTTAACAAATTCACGCAAATATTGTCAGAAGGTTGCATAGATGCGTTTAGTTATTGACAAGAAAACATTATCTTTGGATAAGATTATTATTTAATTATTCGCAGGTTTTATTAAATTCGAGGTCTATAATGAAGTTATTATTAATATTATATGGATTTGTTAAATAAGTGCATTTATGAAATTTCTAGCACTACCAGTTACAAATAATTTAAATACTGACATTGCAATTACCTAACGCAACTGACAGCTCGACGCGCGCCAAATTCAAAACCTACATTAAGTGATAGAATTGTTTTGTTCACCACGTTAATTTCCAATGTTCCTCACATTGTCGCCTTTAACCTTCAATTAAAACATTGGAAAACGAAACTACATAATGTTTTATTAAGTCTAGATTGAAATGAGATATCCATAAATGAATATACCAAATAAGCCCGTACGATCATTTTGTATGGAGTTGACTTTTTCATCGCATAATGACTATATTTTCTCAGGTTTTATTAAATTACAGGTGGTTTTTGATTGATTTTCAGGCAGTAAGTAACCATGCAGAAGAATAATAACAGCAAGCCTAATCGAAAAAAAGGGCAAGGTTCGCCTAATTCTTCTGACATAAAACTACCTAAAATACCAAAGATACAAATGCCAGAAGATTTCAAAATAAAGACAAAGCCGTTGTTCTCTTTGCCCGAAGAGGTTCTAAAATTGCCTGCACCTACCTCCAGAGCAGCTAAACTGCAAGCTGCAAAACAACAAGCGGCTCCAAGTAAAAGAAGATCCAGCGGTACTAAATCTTAATTACATAAGTTTTAAAAATTATCGATCTCTCAGCTTTTTGCGATCGTACCTAACACATTGGAAATGAAACTATTTTTTTTTTTCGGATCATCATCATCATCATCAGCATATCAGCCGGAAGACGTCCACTGCTGAACATAGGCCTCCCCCAAAGATTTGTTTAACCGATATTTCGGGCCCTTTACAGGTCCTATGGTCATGGCTGACTGACATAAAAATACGATTTAGACTCGAAAAATAGTTTTACTTCCAATACTAAATCTACCCGGTTGGTATCTACATGGTTGCCATTTTTTAATTTAGCTACTATCTACTCATAAAATACTTAAACGAGGCAATTTCCATACAACTAAACGTAGGTATAGATTAAATTTTACAGGTATACCTACAATTTTAGCGGTTTTTTTGTGCTGTTGATAGCTAATCACGTCAAATCGAGGGGAATTAAATTTCTTGTTCAAGTACCGTTTCGTATTCGTATCTTTATTAATTATTAGTAGCAAGCTTGGTAAGTGCTTGGCTCTCACCAGAGGATGATAGTTTGCTATAAATTAATAGATAGTGTTGTGTTTGAACATTGTCTAAGTAAATACGAATAAAATTTTATTTAAAAAGTGACATCCCTGAAATGTTTATTTTACTTCTTCGGCTGACGGACTTTGTATCCAGATAAATAAATAAAAACACTTTTAGTTAGATGAATCTGCTTCAGGAATGAGTTGCAGTTTAACGTTATTTTGTTATCTATTACTCATAATATTTACATTTTTTCGAATTTTGATAACACTTGTAGCAAATAAATAGAATGTAAGTACTTCATGGTTAACTACCCTCTGTGGCCCAGCGGTCTTCTTTGGGCGCTGGATGTGAAGGTACCGGGTTCGTTTCCCGGTAGGACCAATATAGGAAATGAGCTTTTCTAAATTGGTTCTGGTCTGAGTGAAATCTATTGCACTGCTACCTACTTATGATACCGGGAATTCCGTGGTTTGAGATCAGGTCATTGTTGCGGTTGTCTGACACATTATTATTATTATTATTTTTATATGATTGGTATCGTATAAAAAAAATAAAGTGATGGGACGTACAAGTCGTGCGTCAGAATTTTAAAATGCAAAGATCTGAGGGGCATTGCCACTGCCAGGAGCACCCTGAGACAAAGGTTGATATGTCTCATGTGCCTGTAATTACCAGCACCCTTACCCTTCTTATCCGGTACGCATTAATGCTCATATTACTGATTGACGGTAGAAATAGGTAAGGTGGCAGTACTGCCCTGGACGTGCTCTTTCTCTTTCCTGGAGCTCTACTGCTATTAATATATTATTTTTATTCTTTTTTTCATAGTAATGCAAAGCTACACAGCGATGCGAAAGGCCAGAGAAGAGTTCAGAAGTAAGATGATCAACTTGATCTGCCGTGACGACCCCGAGGATGACGCGGAAGATGGCATGCCGCCTTCTGGTGAAGAAAAGAACATCCTACGATACTACTACTATTTGAGATACGGAATAGATACTATTCATGTTGCTCCGTTGGATAACAAAATTATATTAAAGTGAGAATATATCAGTTTACTATTAACTACAAATATATTTTACTAATTTCTAATAAATATAGTACTACATTATGTGAATAATCAAACAAACCAAGACCCAAAATAGACGTCAAATCAAAATCGGTTCATAACGTTAAACAAATACGAATTTAATTGTACTAATTTAAAAACTGGAGGATGAATCCAGTTTCGCGCAAAACTTGGCAAATAGATGTAGATAATTCCACGAACTTTTAAGGTCGGTTTTTTTTAAATGAAAAGTTACAATTATAAATGATAATGTAAATAGAAGATATTAGTAGTGAACTATGGGGTCCAAACATTGATCTGACGATCTGATTGACTTAAAGTTTGCTCGATGAAAGAAAACACGAAGTTTCGCAAATTTTTTTTTACTACGTTCATCTATGAAAAATTAGTTTCATTCGATTGTTGTTAGAGATATTTCGATGAAATTTTCTCTCTCGTATTCTATAATAGATACGTCAAGAGGCTGTAAGCTTATTTTACAATAATAGAGTATATTTTAAAATCTAAAACGCAAATGTTTAAATATCGTTCAAGTAATTCCTTTGCGTCTACCTCACATGTTTCAAAACCTACGCAATCACGATATTGTCACTGTATCGATGGCATATTTTATACCTTTTTTTTTATGATAGCAAGTGACGGGACTAACAAGTCGTTCGCTTGGTGGTAAGCGACGCGCCTATCCATAACAGTTGCAGTGGTGCTCAGAGCTTTAAATCGCAAAGATAATAGGGGCACCGCCACTGCGCCCGTCACTCTGAGACATAAGTTGACAAGTCTCATTATGCTTGTAATTTCACCAGCACCCTTAACCCTTCTAAACCGGAACCGAAACCGTCAAAAATAGGTAAGGTGGCAGTACTTCCCTGGACGAACTCTTGCCTTGCCTAATTCTTGTCGTGGTGAATGGATTTGCCAATTGGAGTAAGGTACTCGCCAATTGTTGCCTAGAGAGCGCCAGCCATACTGGACAAGAATGGTACGTCATGCGGGCAGGTTTCTTTCGTGCAACCAGTAGGATTAGGTCCACGTAGCACAACAGTGGGGCTAGCACGACAGGATCTCTATGCGAGAATAGAAGTATTTCGGTTTATGTCTCTCTCGCGCAAGTCACGACAAGTTGTTTTAGTCCTACAGTGTGCGACTTGAGCGAGAGCGACATAAAGAGCGAGATATTGTTATTCTCACATGTATGTAGATCACGCGCTTTATGTTGCTTTCGCGCAAGCCGCGCTCGTGCTAGCTCTAGATGCCATTTCACCTTGAAGTGGTAACAAAACCATTTTAGGTTTAGTTAAATATCGCACAGAATTATTCATTGTCATTTGGTAGGAACAAGTCGTAATTGTGCATATTATTTGTGAGTAAACACATAAAGAGACGTAGTTACGGTAATTATTTATTGAGAGAATTTGGACGTATTTCTTCTATTTATTAGAGTAGATACTTATGAGCTCATAACTGCTTTTACAGAGTCCATAATTTAATATCACCCAACCTCAAAAAATGGAAGGAGACATTGTTAACGTGCACAGACGAGATGCGTGAAGATTTTATGATGAGCATGAAAAAAGCTATCGTAGACTTCGTTTTGAAAGATCCGAACACAGTGAGTTTTTTTTTTTATTTGGTTTTTTCGTTTGTGAGTTTGTATTGGACAAGTGACAGACGTTGTTGATTAGCAAATAAGTCGCACCCTTGGTATAATAAAGCTACATCTGCAAAATGACAATTTTTCAGATTTAATTTTAAGAACGAATTGGTCATTACCTTTTTATGAACAATATTTAAGATATTTTTAATACTATTGTTCTTAAAAAATATATTTTTAAGAACAATAGTAGGCATAAAAAAGGATCAGACCTGCAGAAACCTTTTTAAGAAATACAATATAATGACCATGTACTCACAATATATTTATGATATAATAGTTTATGCGCGTCAAAACTTGGCTACTTATGAGCGACGTACGGGCGGAGGCCGAGCGTTACGAAACGCAGGAACACTAAAATCCGTTGCCCACCGTACCGAACTGGCAACTAGAAATCCGCGGGTAATAGGTCCCCGATTCTACGAACATCTACCCACAGACCTGAAAAGTGTTAGAAACGATGAAACGTTTTGTACCCGACTAAAAATCCTTTTATTGGATATTGAATTGTACAGTGTCGATGAGTTTCTTTTGAAACAATTTTAATTTTATTTTATTCGACAAGCAGTAGTTATACTACTTTATTTTATATTCATTATTATTATTTTGTTACTGACGATCATAGTTATCCCTTGACATTGTATTTCCAATTGTAATATTGTGACATTGATAACATGAAATAAACGATTCTATTCCATTCTATTCTATTCTATGTTTAAAGAGGAAATTATAAAATTTTACTTATACAACATTATTTTTACGACTTTCATGTGATAAAAGCACTATTGACGTATGATTACATGTGACTTTACTTACCAAGGGAAGGCAGAATGTAATCAAATGTATAATATAAAAGTACTTGTAATTGTGAATCTCTCGCTTGAAAACATCTATAAAGTCTGGTCGGCCATTTTACTTTTTTGTTTTAGGTCAAATTTGAAAACAAAAAAAAAGTCGACAGTAATTCTTTTCATTGGTTTGTTTTAACTGTTACTTACAGTTTTTAAGTTTGTAGCTGTTTCTGCTTTGTCACAAAATCTAAAAAAAACATTTTGTTAAATTAGGTTTTTTTTTTCGATAAAAGTTGACTAAGGCTAAGTCGATGTTAAAATCTAATTTAATTGCTATTTTAAGTCTAATTCTTATGTATTTAAATTTAAACGTTACTATTTTATATTCACACATTATTTCGTACCGCACATTAAATATTATTTCTTTTGAGTTTTGCTTCGTCTGTTTATGTTAAATCCTACTTTATTGATTCTTTAGGAAGAAGCTATAGAAGATGAAGCAGTATCGCCTTTGAAAACAGAGTTGGCTATAATGAAAGATGACGCGTGGCGGAACCGCTATGTGATGTCGAAAAAATTTCTTACAAATAACCTTCACACTGTTAATCCGTGCATAGCTCAGGTGCTGCAGATATGGTGGAAACAGTTCAAGTAAGATTACATTGCGTTTTTTTAATCTATTTTAGAGAATGTACGTTGTGTACGTTATGCTCACCGATAAATCACTGTTAAGTAATTTTAATAATTTTTGAATAACTATTTGACATGATCATAGCAAGTTTTAGAAGATCATAGAAAGTCATAGAAATTTCATAGTCATAAAATAATAAATATAAAGAATATTGTAAAATTCGTGTAAACCTCTCTCCTGGAAAAGCATTTTTGCGTTTGTGGCTTTATTACACCATATTACTACCAATTTTCTAACAAGGAACGTAATATGGGAGTATTTAAATACAACAACTTTGTTGAATGATGAGAAAATAAAATCTATTTTCTAGCGACTTGCGTTTGATAAGTATGAAGGACATAATGACGACGAATGAAGCTTACGAGTTGCAAGACTTTTGCTTCATATGTAAGAGGCACATCGAGGCAGCAGGCAACGTCCTGTCGTTGCAGTGGATACCTACGGTGCAGGCGGTTTTTTTACAGGTAAACGTTATACGAGAGTTGGCTAGGAATTGATAGCTTTATAAGATTGATCCTTGGACATTGCTCAGAACTTTCATTTTCTAATTCACTTTAGTAGCAAAAGCAGTCACGTATGTATCGTTGCGTAACTTCCGTTTTATTAAAAAAAAAAGGTTTATATGATTATAGGGGAACAAGAAAAAGCTGATACCGGAACCGAAGCAAACGCAGAAGATGAAACACTATTACAACTGCTTAGATTGCATTATGACTTATAATCTTCAAACACTTTGCTTGAAATCAATGAAAGAATTTACAGACTATATAATGGATGTTGGGGTATGTTACATTAAATACTTGCATATTTCTCCATGCCACATTTGTGTGTGATAATATATATTTATATTATTATTAACAGCATTCGAGAGAGACACGGTGTTCCTAATGATTTAAAAATATTTTCAGGGCGCTTTCAAATTAGACGCTTGTAGAAGTTCTGCAGTGGCGCGACTGTGGCGTGGCAGCCGCACTTCTGCAGCGCTTCAGTAATTTTTAGTTCACTTGTTGTGACTTTTTAGTAGTTGTAGTACTTGTGTAAGAGTTTGTCCAGAGAAGTACTGCTACTTTACTTATTCCTGCCGCCAAGCAGTAATGTGAGCGTAACTGCGTTCTGGTTTTGAAGGGCAACAGTGCTGGTGAAATTACAGGCACATGGGACTTGTCGACTTATGTCTCGGGCGGCAGTGTCCTCCAGATCTTTGCGTTTTGCAACTCTTAGTGGCACTGTAACTGTAATGGACAGGCGTGTCGCTTACCACCAGGCCCACGACTTGTTCGTCCCGTCACCTGGTATCATAAAAAAATACTTCAAAAGTGACGCGTGCGTGTCACAACAGTGGTGCTACAACTGCGCTTCTAAATATTTTATGAAAATTAGTAGTGGCGCGGCTACAGCGCCACAATGGTGCTATAAAACGCCTCTATAAGCATTTAGTTTGAAGGACCCTAACAATTTTTTTTTTAATTTTTATAATTTTTCAAAACATTAAATATTTTGAAAATGGCGGATGAAATCACAGCCGCGCATTTAAGACACCGTACGTCTCTAGGATGCATTACGGGTTAATAATAAAATCCATTTCATGCCACAACCATTTGCTTAGATAAAATCTGTATTTTTGGTACTTGGGATTCATATTATGAATAGAGTATAATTTAAGTTTTATTCCAGGGTCAAAACCAAGGCTTTGTATTAAATACAAATTTTGGACCAGACGGGATTGCTTTTGAGCCGTCGTTCCAAACGTTCAAAAGCATGATCGGCTTGCTGTACGATTTGTTGATTGACGCCTGTAGACAGTCTCCTCGGCTAGAAACCTTATTGTATCAGGACTTCGTTGTCACTAAAAAGGCGACGTTAAAGGTAGTGTTGTGTTTCATATCGATATGGTATTTTTTATCTTTAAATACCCAATTCGTACAGTCAACATCAATGATTTCCACATTACATTTTAAGCCAAAATATCTATAGTAAATTTGTTTTGTTTATCTCTATGAATTAATTAGTATTTTTCATTCTAAATAAATTCGTTTAAAAACTATTGAACATAGACACTTATGTCTTGCAGTGTTCATTAATGTCCAAAGGCTAATTCAAATTAATTTATTTGTGAAAACACAGGTTGTATAGAAGTTAACATGTGTATAGTCTTACTGTGTCCTGACAAACTTTAGGCGTTCAAACATATTGAAGGTATATCATTCACTAGTGTGCACTTTAACAAGCTAAACTAGGTGTAACATTCTTCTGTTTAAATCTAATCTATTTATCGAGTTCTTAGATTTTCGCGATTGTTACACATAGGAAATGAAACTATTTTCCGGATTTGAACCGCGTATATTTGTTTTTTCAAACAAACGGTCCCATGGTCAAGGTTGTCAACCGTGACCATGGGACCTGTAAAGAGTCCGAAACGTCGGTTTGTTTGTAAAAACAAATATACGCGATTTAAATCCGGAAAAATAGTTTCATTTTCTAATCTATTTTTTTATGTAATAAATCAATAAAATTGGAAATACCTATATTACTTCGCCACTCTGCGAACCTAGTGAAGGTTAATTAATAAAATTAACGCCTGATTCTATTAGTTGTTTAATAAGTCGGTCAAAATAGTGTTGTAAAAGACTCTAGTCCAGGAGTGTATATTTATGAACTCGACTCAATTTTGCATGGCTCGGTGGCTTGACACTCTGAGTACGAGTCCAAGCCGAGTCGAGCGCGAATCATCGGAGCAGGAATTCGAATCTAAAAAGGACTCGAGTCGTAAACCTTCGAGTTCGAAAACTCGCCTTCTACGACTCGAGTACGACAAGAAGGGTTCAGTTTTACTGAACAACTACTATTGCCCACGCACTAAATAAAAACAAAAAACCCAATATGGTGATTTACAAGAGAAAGAAGATATTAATACTTAATTATACCTACTATAGTAATTATACTATAGTATAATAATATATACCACTACACCACTTAGTAGGTACCTACTTACCGAGCTCGATTCGTTAAATAAATAGAGGCTTGACTCTATTGTCGAACTCGAATCTGTTTGGACACTCGATAGGCTCGTAAAACATCGAGCAGTGAGTCTCTGTGTTTCTGAGTTGGGTCTTGTGCATTGGAGTCTAGGCCTCAAATAGTCTACATTTGCCGGCCTCGAGTTTCTTACAACACTAGTCAATAATTTAAACGCGGTGATAATTATTCGTATCTATTTTAATTACAATAGTTGTAAAATGTAATTAGGGGTCAAAATAGTAATAATTTGAATAACTTCAAACTAAATACACAAAAAATTAGGCAATGAAGTCAGGGATTTATCATTTTAAAATTCTGATACTGTACACATTAAAATTTTGATACGAAAGCTTGTACTTTGACATTGTTCTCCGACAACACTCGCTGAATATCAGAACCTACAGAAGCCTATAAAATAGCTAAACAGAAAACTTGCCAGTATCGGCGAAATGTAGAAAGGACACCACCAAAAAACCAAAACAAGACGTAGAAAAAGACTTTATTGGATAATAAGTGGTTTATAATTACTTTTTAAATAGCTAAAGTTTTTCTCAGACTTACTTCCGGTAAGTTATTGTAAAATAAATTGATTTTTGGATATTTGCAACACTTACACCTGTTTGCTATTACAATTGTATCTTGAAATTTATAAATAAATAACTATTTATTGCATTCGCTTATTCAGCCCGTGATTGATAGCGAATTAGTTGAAAACTATGCGAAGCAAATCAGCAGTCTTATTGATGAACAGAGAATTGGACCCGAGTTAAGAATCCAAGATTTCGATGACTACGTTTGTCTCCTAAACGGAACTGTAAGTTTTTTAAACGGTTATTTTTAAATAAGTAACGTAATATAAATATGTAAGTACATTTTTAAAACCCTTTATTTATTTAGAGGCTTTTATCATTATTAAACATAACTAACCTAACCTAGCCAAACTTATATACAAAATCTTCACGGCACTACTTTATTAGTTCAGACAAAACAGATTGAAACCACGCAAAATTAAATGTCCTTAAACTAACCGGTGCAAATAACCATACGTTGATAGGTTCCGTCCGAACACATTCCAAGAATGTGAGAACAAAATGATGTAGGTACATCTCCAGGAATTCCACACATTTGGAGAATTCCCCCTACACATCAAATACAAAAATTTGTTCAACGGAATGTGTCCGGATCCAAGCTAAATAGATACTTATAATGAATAATAAAAAAATATTATTATCATGATGACAGTCCCAAAAGATTGTGGAGGACTTTATTAACGCACGACCAGAGAAAACTTTTGAAGAGTACTGCGAAGAGGCAATAAAGTATGTGGAGTTGGCTAAGGAGATACCTTCAAAATTGGAAGGAACAATTATGATAGGCATGTTCCGGATGCAGCGTGCGGATTTAATCACATCGTTGCGAGGTTCAGCCACGAGGTTGGCGAATACGCTTCTCCGACGGATGACGGAAGATTACCAGAATGAGATTAAAGCGTAAGTTGGTTTGTTTTTTATGATATCAAGTCGTCGTGTGTGGGACAAACAAGTCGTGCACCTAGTGGTAAAAGCCTATATGTGCAGTGCCATTCAGAGCTTTAAATCGTAAACATCTGAGGGGCACTCCTATCGTGCAGGTCACCCTGAGACATAAGTTGACAAGTCCCATGTGCCTGTAATTTCACCGGCACTCTTTACACTTCAACACTGGTTACTCAGTAATGCTCACATTACAGCTTGGCAGCAGAAATAGGTAAGATGGCAGTACTTTTCTAGACGATCTCTTTATTGCTACGCAAAATTGGGAAGAGTGAAAATGGGAAGTGTAAACGTGTGTTTCTAATTGATTACGTCAACCTATTAAACGTTCTATTGCTAGCAAGGGTCTCCTCTAAAGAGAGAGTATGCCTTAGTATGTCACGCTGACCCAATGCGAATTTGGACCGCATAGGTTTTCTAAGGGCTGTGAACATTCTTTGACGTGCATGTTTCATGATGATGTTTACCTTCATCGTTATCGAGAAATTGCTACTTAACATTAAGAGTCGATTACTACCTCAGTTCGAATTCACATTTTTCCCGTACTAATACCATCTGTTATTTTTGCTTGGGGCGACCGGTACACTGCGGAACACTGGCTTTATTTCAGAATTTATTTTTTGACAAACGAAATTAAAGCCATTTGAAAAATGTATACAATATCGCATACTTTACGTGTTCTATTTAGGTCAGTAGATATAAAAAAAAATTATTGGTATATGTAAAGTACTTATTAAATGTAGCAGTTTTCTTGTAAAGTTTCGGGGTACGTTTGTGTTTTTTTCTATTATGATAATTTTTTGGAATCGTGTTTTCACACCGTATACTAATCAGTGTTACAAGCATTATTGTTTTATTATATGTATTTTTACCTTCGTTTTGAAAAAATACATTGCAATCACAAACGAGGTATTTACTCTAGGACAATGACAGTGATAGAGAAGTTGTGAGTGAGGCTTGTTTGCATATAGGAGGCTGTAATTTCGAATACCGGCAAGGTCATGCTCTAGCTTACATTACTACAACTATACCTATACAGAAATGATTAGTTATACGTGTTAGCGATAGCTTTTATTAGTGCCTCTAAATATAGTGAAGAATGCAGCATGTTAGAGAAAGTCCAAAGCCTAGCGTGAATAACATAGCATAAGTGCTATAAGTTGATCACAAAACGCTGGTGAAATTACCGGAACTTAGGACTTGTCGACTTTATGTCTCAGAGTGACGGGCGCAGTGGCAGTACCCTTAAGATCTTAAGCGATTGCTATTTAAAGCTCTGAATGGCACTGCAACTGTTCTGGATAGGTAAGTCGTTTACCACCAGGTGCACGACATGTTCGTCACGTTAACGGTATTTAAAAAAAATCATTTTCCTATCGTGAAATTAAGAGACCGCCTTTGGATTATGTTCTTCATTATTAGTTTTGCGTATATACATTGTACACATTGCATAATATTAGCAAAAGACAAAACGGTATCTAGCATAGGTACGTATAGGAAAGATCATTTGGTCATCTGCACACAGTACAGTTATTATCTTAGTACTGTTATATATCTGTTGTACTAAAGATTTGCCAAAATTGCTGGGTACGTGTGCCTATTTGAAGTTCTTGAGTGCCTGATCAAACATTTTTCAGAATATATGACGAGTATGCAATGATTGCCAACACGCTCTTGACTCCGCCGCCCGACACGGCAGCTCTGATGGAACTTATAGCTTACTGCAAGAAAGTAGAAGACGAACTTCTTGCCATAATGGAAGACAAGCTCCGCAGTGTTATGAAATACATTGTGTTTTTAGGAGACTATACGACGTTTTCTCCTCTAGAGCTAAAGGCCAACAACCAGACATACTTTTGGTAAATTACGGAAATATTATTTAACTATTAAACCCTAACCACGAAATTTTGTTTATTAAAAGAAAAAGCCTGTTTTGTTTATGCAATTCGTAAGACTCTACACACAAGTTGTTTTCGCCTGAATAGTTCTGCTAGTGAATATCTTGACAGGTATTTCCGCATGCCGAGTGTAATCGAGGAATGTAAAGCCATTTGCGACGTCAAGAAAGTTGAATACCAGGAGCTGCTGAAGGTCTCGATTCACTTTAATTTTATTTATATTTACGTTTATCATATTACCTATAAACAAATATCACATATTACAGGTGAGAATAGCTAAGTTTATCGACGACTTGGATGTCTATGAACTGCAATGTAATGAGCTGCAATACTGGGGTGATATTGAAGAAATATCGAAATATGTTTCACGTGTTCATCGCTTAGATGAAAAGTATGGAAATTTTCCTCAAAAATAATTTTCCGTAGGTACCATTATCAAATACCTCTTTTACTTACTTAATTTTACGTACAGATTATCGCAAGCCTTGCAAAGAATCGACCAGTTTAATGAAGAGGAGACGTCATTTGGCTATGAAATATCTCAATATCCAAAGAGGAAGACGGTCTACGATAAAATGGTGCCATTTAAGAAACTCTTCGATGCTGCTTATGACTATCTTGAAAAGAATCGTTTGTGGATGACTTCAAAGGTACGATTTTATAGTTTAGATCTGTATGTACGTTTGATGTGTGCACGAATAATAGTGACACTATTTTGACAGGTTGGCTCTTTCGACCCAGAGGAAATAGAAGGCGACGTTGCTTACTATTACAAGATTGTATATAAATTAGAGAAATCTTTCGCTGATGTTCCTGAAACTCATCGTCTGGCTGAAGATGTGAGGTATATGGTCTGGTTTTTCTTTGAGATCCTATTGCCTCACTATTTCTTCACATTTCATTTTTGTGGTTATAGAGAACGTATGGATGAGTTCAAAACTCATATGCCTATTGTGCAAACTCTTGGCAACCCTGGCATGAAACCCCGTCACTGGGATAAAGTTTCCGATATTGTTGGTTTTCCAATACAAGTCGATGAAGAATTATCATTGCAGAAGGTTATCGATTTCCATTTGGATGATTACATAGATAAATTTGAAACTATCTCTGAGGCTGCTACCAAAGAAAACAATTTGGAGAAGGCATTGGACAAGATGATGAAGGAATGGGCAGATCTTAAATTCGAGATTTTACCCTACAAGTTAGTAAAAAAAAGTTTTCTATTTTTACATATGATACAATAATTATGTATTTCGAGAAATACTTATTTTTATTTATTAATCACAGGGATACAGGATCATATATTTTGTCGAGTGTGGATGAAATTCAGTTATTATTGGATGATCATATTGTTAAGACTCAGACTATGAAGAATTCGCCGTACATTAAACCCTTTGAAGAAACCATTACGTAAGTTTGCATATTGGACATAATATTAACGTGAAGTCATTGACCTACCAACAAATGGACATCGGGTCTAATACAAAAACCACCAAAAAAATGTCCGAAGTTAACCTATACAAACGTAGTGACATGTAACGAAATATAAAAAACTAAAACATTTAGTTTAAATTGTAACGACATTGCAGTACTGCCTAATTTTGCTTGCAACAATTTAAGGGACCAAAAACACCAAATTCAGCTTCTACTGGAAACTTAACGAAATGCACCATATTTAGCTTGGACTGAAAATTACTTGAACACAAGAGTATTGGAATAGCCTTTCTCGTAAACATTAATTAATTTTTATATATATTATTATGTCGAATTTTGTACAAATTCACTTAAAGATATAATAAAGAGTTGGGCAGATACATACATACAAATATTACTACGAATGTGAAAATAAGCGTGTACTATAAGAAATGTACCGACATTCCAACTAAACGTAAAATCAAATATCCGTAATTCCGGAAACCGATTTATAATAAAACCGAGTAATTTCGATGCTTTTCACAAAGACAAAATTAGCTATTGTTTTGTAATCTTCGTAATAAAATACATTTGACATTATGAAAATTCGAGCTAACGTTATTTCGGGCAAATGTATTTGCTTCTGACTTCTGATAGGTAATTCCAAGCCGTAAAACGAGTACAACAGTATTTTGTTAGTTATTGCTAACGTTTAATAAAAAAATCATTTTAAAAATAGGATAAAATCAAAGCGATTCTATAGTTTCTTTGTTCTAAATATTTCAATCGCTTGTGGTTCGAACAATTGATAATGATCAAGAAGTTTATATATAAGCTTCTTGAAACTGACGTAATGGGTCTCTTTCCATCTTTTGCGTATGCAATGTGTGGAAAAAGGACAGTTAGCTATTTGATTATTTTGTGTGCTTTTGTAATTTATATTTACGATTCAGTTATATATAAATTAAATACTATAAAACTGTACATAATAACACTTTTAAATGAGAACTATGATAACACAATATATTTGTTTAGTGAAAATATGATATAAAATCCTGTTTTTACACTTTACTGCAGTAATTTTTACAAGTTATTATTGGTACTGCATGATTGACAACTGCGCTGTCACTCGAATAAACGAAGACTGTTGCGCGGTTGACGTTCTATATGCGATTTTAACGCCCTTTAAGGTGCGTGTCCGCACCTATAGGGCAGACACGCACATTCTTTAGCGCGTCCACACTTCTACACTCTTTAGCGCGTCCACACTTTTTAGCGCGAACCCGACGTCCATTTATTGGTCATTGGTCAATGCGTCAAGGCAAATGAGCGTAACATTTTTGTGACTTGTTTACGGTACACCGCGACAAAAACGGAGTCTTTGAGAATTTTTTTTTCGTTTTCAAATGCTTCGTAAATTCACTCCATAAGTACTTATTCAAGGATCTATTGCATTCAGTCGCATAAGTACCTCCAATTAATTGATTATGCGACTCAAATGCGACAAATTTTGCAGGGCATAGTTTACACTAGATTACGTTCGTCTGATTTACCTTAAATGCATGTAATAACTTGTAATTTTTCACAAACTATAAGTAAACTTTACAATTAGCGACTGGGAAGGAAAGTTGGTACTTTTGCAAGAAATTCTGGACGAGTGGCTGAAGGTTCAGGCAACGTGGATGTACTTGGAACCAATCTTTTCATCTCCGGATATTCAACAACAGATTCCCGAGGAAGGCAGAAGATTCAGCGCTGTTGATAAGGTATGAAATAGCATGAAATAAAACTTTTTAAGTTTTTAAAATACAGCATAGTAGATAACCTCAAGGTAACATAACCTTTTAGATGTGGCGAGAGATAATGAAAGCGGCATTCACTGAACCAAGAGTGCTAGATGTGATTACTATAGAGAAAATGCTAGATAGATTGAAGAAGTCAAATAACTTGTTGGAGATGGTCCAGCGGGGACTGAATGCGTATTTGGAGAAGAAGCGTCTCTATTTCCCGAGGTTCTTCTTCTTGTCCAACGACGAGCTGCTTGAGATCTTGTCGGAGACCAAAGATCCGACGCGGTAAGTTTTTAACTAAATAACGCTCGCACTCACACTCAACATAGCCCCGCACTAGGCAAAACCTGTGTCGCGGGTGCCATGGACACATACATAGACAACCACAAATTACACCAAAACTCACGAGAGAAATAAATGTAGGCCATACAAATATTTCTCCCGGCCCGGGAATCGAACCTGGAACCTCTGCGTGGCAGTCTGGCATGGTAACCGTTCGGCCACGGAGGCAGTCATAAATAATAAATATACAACAATTTATCTCTACAAGGTTAGAACTTCAGCCACTGCCCAAAATACGGATTCATACAGGTAATGTAAATTCATTGACTTACAATTATATGGACGTCAGGTCCGCGCTAAAAAGTGTCCGAACTTATAGGACGTTAAAATCGTATACAGAGCGTCATTCACGCTTTAGTCTTCGTTTGTTCGACTGACAGCAAAGTAAGCAAAATTAGACAGTACTGCGATGACATTACAATTTAAATTCAACGTTTTAGCTTTTTCATATTCCTTTACATGTCACTACGTTTAAATAGGTTGACTTGGGACATTTTTTTCAAAAAATTCAAAAATTAAAAAGCTGCAAGAAAGATTTGTGCTATTTAAAATATTTTATTACAGTGTACAGCCTCACTTGAAGAAGTGCTTCGAAGGCATTGCCAAACTAACGTTCACTGAGGACCTTGTTGTTACGCACATGAAGTCCTCTGAGGGCGAGGTTGTACCGCTCGTCTTGACAATTAACACAGCAGCTGCTAGAGGACAGGTGCGTTTTGTTTAAATTTGCTACATTTATAAAAAAGAGAAAGTTGATATTCTTTGATTATTTGCTAATGTCGTGAAGCGTCTAATTAATCACTTAGTTTTAATGTGCTTATGTGTAGTATCTTAATATACGATGAGCCGCTTTGCAAAACAAAATGAGAGAACAACGTCGTTTTGTAAAGTGGCGCGACTTAGTAATTTAATCCGATACTTAGCGAGTTACGTTGAGTTGTTTGCAATAATAAAATATTTATTCAATTTATAATAGGTGGAGAGGTGGTTGCTGGAACTGGAGAAGTCAATGAAAATTTCAGTTCATGACGCAGTGTCTGCTTCATATGACGCCTACTTGGTGCAAAAGAGAGAATATTGGGTGCTCGTGTGGCCGGGTCAAGCTGTATGTTCTTGAATGTTAATTTTATCGCTTCTTAATCTTATAGTGCAATGCCTTTAATAATAGGTATAAAAGCGGTTACGCGCGGCGACAACGCGAGTTTGTGAAACGCGCAATTGCATCCCTACTCTTGCAATTTTTAGACGATTGCATTGAATCATTGTGTACGAAAAATTTGTATGTACATTCTGTTGTTATCGTTATTTGTAAATTCTAAAGTGAAATAAATAAATAACTTAAGAAAAAGCGTGCATCGCGTTTGCATCGCATTAGCATCGCGATTATATAACTGCTTAAGTCGCGCATGTGTGTTAGGTAGACGGTTTTCGACTGCATCGCGACTGAATCGCTGCAGACGTGCTGCTTTAAGTGGCCGTGTGTAACCGCTCTTAGACATGCGCTCTTAGACATGCGCTCTTAAGACATGCGATGAGCAGCAAAGGGTCAAGATTTTTAGCATTCCATATTTTTAATTTTTTTTGTCAGCAATGCAAATGTAATTCGTGCCTTTGGTATTATAAAGCCACATGTAATCATAAAGATCGTCAAGATCGTCGAACGTCAAGAGTGCTTCAATCACATGAAAGACATGAACATAATACAAAGTACACGAAACAAATTATGTATATGTGAAATTTCATTACTCTATTGTAGTTAAGCAATATAAAGTTAGTTTTTTTTATAATTACCAAGTGACGGAGATGAACAAATCGTGCACCTGGTGGTAAGCGACATGCTTCTCGATAATAGTTGCAGTGCCACTCAGAGCTTTAAATCACAAAGATCTGAGGAGCACTGCCATTGTGCCCGTTATTTTGACACATAGGTTAACAAGTCTCATATGCCCATAATTTCACCAGCACCCTTACCCTTCAAAACCGGAACGCAGTAATGTGCACATTACTGTTTGGCGCCAGAAATAGTTAAGGTGGCAGTACTTCCCTGGACGAAATCTTTCACAAGGAGAACTGCTACTAAAATATATTATAGTCATTTCGTTCGTGGAATCTTTGATCCTGAAAAGTTGTCTTTTGCAGATGTGACTTTATTACACCAAGAATGCGAATTATACTTCTACGTATTTTTGTATACCTTCGGGCATAATGTCCTATTATAGCTTTCAAATTTACCTAGCAGATTTTAATGAAAAAAATGTAAAAAAGTCGTACTGTTTTCAATATGCTAGGTGCAATGTATTGCAATGACCTTCTGGACGTCAGAAGTCACAGAAGCTATCCACATAAACCTAGCTGCTATGAGGCAGTATTGGGATAAATGTAATTTCCAAATCTCGAAGATCGTCGACTTGGTGCGCGGAGAGCTCAGTTTACAAAACAGAATCACGCTTGGTATGTATTAATAAGGAATATTGAATAATGACTACTTTGAAGTGGCAAATTGTAGTTCGCGCTGAGCCGATTCACATTTGGAACTCAACTATTAATAAATACATAGGTAAAGCCGCTATAAATCTAGTTGCTACAGTACCTTGTGCAATGCGACGATTAAAATTTATTTTACCGCAGATCTCGCAAAGACTTGTACCTTGTACCTAAGTCTGAGAGAAAATTATTTACTAACAAGTGGTTGCTTAATCCTTAACATAAATGTACTAATATGAAGTGTCTATTCTGAGGCGATACGTGCTACAAAAATATATAATGACAACTCTTCGACACTAATGGATAAATTTAGAGGATTATTTAAAAAATTTGAATAATGATAACAAAATAATAATAATGTTCGTATGAACCCACTGGCCACATACATATACTAGAACGTTAAATTTGGAAAAATAATTACTTTGATTGTTTTTTATTTCGAGTAAACGTTTTGGTGCTTGTCGCCAATAAATATGTCATAAAAGCGTTGTTATCATAATTCAATCTATTTTTTAAATGTTTCCCTAAATATGTCCATAAACTTACCTAAACTTTCGAAGTTTATAATTATTGAGATCATTTTGTGTTAGATGATACTTACTACAGTACCGGCACGCTATGATGGCCGTTTTGACAGATTACAATAGTGAGGTTAAATCTCAATTCACTATCGAGAAAAACATAATCAAATGCTAGTCGCATCTATAAGTTTTTAGATTTATAACTAGTATTGCAAAGTTTGGCTGATTATTTTTTTTTGATAAAACGAAAATTAAAATATTTACTTAATATATGTCCACAATTCGAAACTGCATTGTTTCGCATTGAGCCCTGACGCGAGTTTGCCGGAGGCAGAGGTTGTGCTGGCCAGCGGTCCTGTAAGTGGTATTAGATTTCATTTAAAAAAAAACAAACAAATGCCGAGTTATGTCGTAAAATTATATATACATTCCATGAATTTTACTGCACGTTACTATAGACAACATACTAGAGACGAAAAAAGGGCTATATATTCCTGGTAACTCATTAGCGATACATCTCTTATAAATATCAACTCTCGTTTGCACTGAAATATAGACAGGCTAACAACTGACCTGTGCGTACGTCTTCGTATATTCCAAAAAATATTCTGTATTTATTGTAATAAACATAATATCTGTAACAATGCCGTGCTGTCCTATTCGGTGGTATGGGAAAATCAGCAAAACATCTAATTACAAAACAAACGGAATCACATTTCATCGATAATTAAATATTAAACAGGTAATTTTTAAATTTTCGTCCATTATAGCATAGATCAAGTTAAACTGGTCATTTGCAGTGAAACAATTGACAACACCCATCAATTGTTTCAAATCATTTATGCGTCTTGCTTCCACCCTTGGAGCATATAGGTTTCCACCTAATGCAACTCCCATTACGTCATTCTATTCATTGGGCATACCTTACTAGTGTTGCCCTGAAAAAATCATATTAAGTTTCGATATTTGCAAGTATAATTATTACTGTATAATGATTTATTTGAACAATCGGTAAAGTAAAAAAATCTACATCTAACGTCGTCGTAGTTAAGTATTGAGCCATGAGTATAATCTACCGATTTTATAAGTGTGTCAGATTATGCACAAGAAACACTAATTACGTGTGGCGCACTATAAGTTTCCGGAATGAATAAGAAAAAAATACTATAAATGGTCAGAAATGAATTTATTTTAAATTTTTATTGAATTGATATACAATTATTTTTTGTGAAATTACTTCACTAGTTTGTTAAAATTACTAATACAATAATATTAATTAATTAATTACTAATATAATTACTAATACAATTGTATTAATAATGAGAACAAAGTAATTAATTTATTGTTTCTCAAAATAGTCTCCGTTAGCACTTTTTCATACGAATGAACCAATTATGAAAACATTTAAACCACTCCTCCGTGATAATCTCTGAAACATATTTTTCATGCTTTCAAGATAGCCTCTTCAGGTGATGAAAATCCTTGACCTCGTAACTGGTTCTTAATTTATGGAAATAATTAAAAGTCAGAAGGTGCCAGGTCGGGGACTGTACCGTTGGACTGTACCTGCAACGTTGACTTATGGTCACCGTTGCTCACCTTCAAAAATTCATTTGTCTGTCTGACTGTGTGAGAACTGGCATTATCGTGGTGCACAATGATGCGGCGTTTACGGTTATTTTTACGGAGTTTGTCAATAATTTCCGGCAAACAAATGGTCGTGTACCAATCACTATTCACGTTACAACGATTCTCCAAAGCAACAGTAGCCACGTGTCCAGTTTTATTAAAAAAAGAAGCAATCATCCCCTTAGAGGCACTTTGCGCCACTTTGGTTGGTTTCGGCTCATTTCGAAAGACCCATACGCTCGATTGCTGATTTGTTTTGGGATCGTAACTATTAATCCATGTTTCGTCACCTGTTACTATATCCCACACTAAATTTGACGCCCCTTCGTTGAATCTGATAAGCATGGCATTGCACCAAGTAACGCGATCCGTTTTTTGAGCCTCAGTCTAATTGTGTGGGATCCATCAAGAGCACATCTTTGTCACACCCAAATGTTTGTTGTGTAGTATTGATTGTATTTGACTCATGCCTATGCCTAAAGATGCCCGAATCTCATGGTATGTCACATGCCTGTCTGTTTTGATCATACGGCGCACAGCATCGATGTTTTTGTTGTACACAGCAGTGGACGGGCGACCATCACGAAATTCGTCACTGAGATTCACACGACCGCGTTTGAATTCTGCAAACCAGCTGTAAATAGTTGTCTTGCATGGTGCTTCATCGCCAAAAGCAGTTTAAATCCGAACGAAACTCCGCTGAGCTGTTAAATTACACTTAAAGTCGTAGTAAATCATACTACGAAAGTTTTCACGAGTTAATCCATGGTGATGTAGACAACCAATTTGTAAGATAACGTCACAATGAAAAAAACAAGTGACAGTCAGATGAAACATATTCTACAGTCGTAGCAGAGTTCCATTTTCAAATGTTGTAATTAAATATTGTTTTAAATATTGTTTATGTAAGTGGTCAGTTCCGGAAACTTATAGTTCGCCGTATGTACTCGAATTTACAGCTCCTTCAACGTAGTTATGAATTAATACGAAACTTGATGAGCGAAATTAATACTAAACTTGATGAGCGGACCAATATTAAAACGGCCGTAATAGCGTGCCGGTACTATAATGTTAGATGATTACAAGTTAAAATGAACGCTACAGCTTGGAAACTTAACACTTTATTTCTTTCCCGTTACATAGTTTTAAAAATATGAAACAAATATTTTATTCTAAAATATTAAATATTTTAGGTGCCCTTGTCGTATTAGATGTGCACGCTCGAGATGTACTTATGTTACTTATTGAATGTAAGGTGCAATTGGACAATGACTTCAACTGGTTATCACAGATACGCTACTATTGGGAGGTACGTAGTCAATGAATCTTGAAATGCATTAAATAAAGCTCAAGATTTTAGATTTCATTGAATTACATCTACATGCAAACATGTTTTGAAATTGACTTCCGCTTTTGGGCAAAAAATGAGTTGTGTGAGTAATTTTCACGATAATTTTTTGTACCTTATTTCGGTGGCAATTTTTTTTATTAAACATTCTAGAATATTTTCTTGAAGAATTATTTAATATTCTAGTGTGGTATCCTGAAATATTATTTATAACATATTTGCTCGTAAAGTGGCTGAAATCACACCGATTTCAATATCGTAATGTATTTCATTACGCACTTGTGCGTTATTGTAATGTAAATCGCACAGGTGCGTTATTGTAATGTAAAACGCACGAGTTTTTTTTTTAATAAAGTAACATGCACGGCTTTTTAAGATGCTCCGTCTAAAAATGAACGATACTTTTTTAAATCTTTGCAAAGAGTTTTTATGTTAGAAAAGTGGTCAATATTTTATGAATGAAATTAACTTTGGGAGATAAAATATAGTAAATAAACATTTGATTCCTTCATTTAATTAATTTTGACAATAAATTACAACCATTTATCTGTAACAAAAACACAAAAATATTAATTTACTTTATTAGTAATACTATTTTTATACCTTTGCCTAAAAAAAAGTTGATGCGCGCGCATGGCTAATTTGTGGACAAGTAAAAATTATTAGGCGCGCTTTTTCTTTTCGCTGTATTGTTTTTATTTGAAAATGTCGTCAAGTAATGATGAATTTATTAATTTGACACCGCCACAAGTCTTAAACGCAGTGAAAAAGGCTACTCTAAGCCTCTTACCTGAAAAATCGACCGATAGATACTTACAAGCGTATCAAAATTTCATCACATGGAAAACAAGCAAAGATTCATTTTCAGAAAATGTGTTTTTAGCCTATTTCATGAAACTTTCTCAAAAATATAAGTCAAGCTCATTGTGGTGCTATATGGTGCACTTTGGTGACATACGCCGCACAAACAGAGTTGGGCAAAATACATATTGCGTCTTAATTAAAATATAAATTAGTAAATACTTCCTGATTTAAAATACAAAATACTTTCATGAGGTGTATTGTAAAATTTAGAGTACAAAATATTATTAGGTAGAGGTATTTTGATCTCTTTTATTTAAAATATAAATTACCACTGATCGGGATTGTTAAAACGCCAATTACAGAATGATATTACAATAAACTAATTATTAATAAAATTGCAATTACTGTCATTTGACAGTACGGCAGATGACAAGTAAATTCATCACTAACGTTTTAAATATATTTCAGTATATCTCAAATATGTGTATAAAATATAAATACGTGTTTATAACTAATATTTCAAGTACTACCTTAAAATGTATTATGTAATTGATATTTCAAATAAAATTTATATAACAGTTACAAAATAAATGGTAAGGTAGATAATAATTGACATACAATTGCCATCAAATCGTATTTCAATTACAAGTCGAAAACTACGTAGCCCTGCGTACACATATGTGCGTACGTTGATAATGATAACTAGAACAACCCTGTAAGATATTATATATAATTCGTGATTGTATTACGCTGCGTTACGCAAATCTAATATCGGAATCTTAATGAAAGGAAGTAAAGAAACCTTACCCTTTATATTATAGGATGCAATGTAATTAATATTTTTTATTTCTTTATATTCTGGTTACAAAGACGCATAAGTAAATTCTTTACATACTAGTATAGATAATAATATAAAACAAACACTAATGATAAATTTTTACACGTATTGTCTGCGACGTGTGACGCAACGTGGGTGTCCGGTAACCGGCCTCGGAAACGACGGCACATGACACCCTTCAGCCAAAACTCATAATTTTAATGAAGGCATATGATAATACTTCTTTATATGTAGGAACAAGAAGAGGACAAGACGTGGCAGATAGCAACCCGAATGATAAATTCCACACTAATGTATGGCTATGAGTATCTCGGAAACACAGGTCGGTTGGTGGTGACGCCTCTCACCGATCGCTGCTTCAGGACGCTCTTCGGGGCGCTGCATTTAAACTTAGGTAAAAAAAACAACTTGAAAAGATCTTCGACTTATGAGACAAAAACATTAAATAATTAATGGATCTTTACGCAGTTTTAAATATAAGAATGTAAACAACATTTTGAAAAAAGTTGCTATAAAGAATTTTTCAGCTTTTTATAATTTTTTAAATCAATGTCTTAAAAAGATACATTAAATTTTGTTTTGTGCATTAGATTATTTCTAGCCATTATAACTATTTTTCAAAATAAACTATTTCTATGGAAAATATTAAATAATTAATAGCAGTAATTCTTGTAATAAAATTAGAAAACATTATACCGTGATTTGCAGTGTTTTGGTTTGACACGATAGATACACACATCAAAAGTGTCTAGGGATCAAGTGCGTTTAAGAGTATTGCTCTGTAATTAGGGTTAATTATATTAACTTTTTTGTATCGCTATTGATACTTTTTAGTGAGTTTTAACATTTAAATAAGGAATATTGTTTAAAATTCGATAATAAGAAGAAAATCGATTGTCAATGTGGTTTTGTATAAAAATGAGTTATAGCGTTTTGACAAAATCATTACAATATCTGCATCGGAACCGAAACAATTTACATTATTATGGAGAGACGACATCATTTAACCCGAGAAGTGATGATGCGAGCCGTCGGAATGTTGGAAGCTGGTTCCAGGCAACGTGCTGTGGCTTTCACTCTTAACACTACACAGAGCGTCATAAGTCGCCTCTGGACGCGCTATCGAATGACGGGCAGCGTGGCCGAGCGACATGGAGGACGATCTCGCATCACGACTCGCAGACAGGACCCGTATATCCAAAATACTGCTCGACGGAATCGTACCATGACCGCCATGATGTTGGTTACGAGGCTCCACAGCTCCTCAGGCTTGCTAATAAGCGATCAAACAATCCGAAATCGTTTACGTGAAGTGGGTCTGCGATCCCGAAGGCCGCTCAGAGTTCCACCTATTGCACCCTGCAATCGCAGGACCCGTTTACGATGGGCTCGCGAACACAGAAACTGGGAGGAAGAAGACTGGCACTATGTGTGCTTTTCGGATGAATCCCGCTTCGGTATGAGACCGAATACAAGACGTACTCGAGTTTGGAGAACATCTGGACGTCATGAACGTTTGAGATATTGTCAGGAAGTTCATCCATATGGTGGGGGAACAATAATGATATGGGCCGGTATTTGGATCGGCGGAAGAACCGATCTCATTTGGATCAGGGGTAACCTCAATGCTCAAGTTTACGCAGAGAGGATTGTTTCAGATGTTATCATCCCTTTGCGAGGCCATTTGGGTGATTCATTTCAACTAATGCATGACAACGCACGTCCACACACGGCTAGAGTCGTAACACGCATTCTTGCCGAAGCTCGTATCAACGTTCTGCCGTGGCCTGCTCAATCGCCAGACCTCAATCCAACTGAGCACGCATGGGATATGCTTCAAAGAAGAGCTGTGCCGAGTATGCATACCGTACATACTCTACAACAATATTTTGACTTGTTACAAAACACATGTGATTTTGAAACTCAAAGTGATTTTGATGAACTCATCTTAAGCATGCCAAATCGCTGTAATTGCGTGATTCGTGTTAATGGTGGAAATACAGATTATTAATTTTCTTATCTTTACAATAAAAATGAGCAAAATCATCATTTTCGCCATTTTTTTTGTCATTTAATTGACGCCGTTAATTTGAGTTTTTTCCCACAATTTGCAAAAACGTAAATTTTAGTTTATTTTAATTAAATATAGGGGTAAGCGGTTAAATAAAACATAAGCATTAAAGTAAGAAGTCGTCCTGGAAGACTGGATTTGGTAAATATTGCTTAAATAATTTTTATTTCAAAAATACTCACTTGATCCCTAGACACTTTTGATGTGTGTACATTCATGGAATACAAGGTTTGCTTTTCACTCTCTGTTTTATATAAACATACAAGGTAAATGAGCAACGGGAATAAGTAAACAAAGGTCAAATTGCGAACTTCTTTTCCAGGAGGTGCACCAGAAGGTCCAGCTGGAACGGGTAAGACGGAAACCACTAAGGATTTGGCTAAAGCCGTCGCGAAACAATGTGTCGTGTTCAACTGTTCAGATGGTCTTGATTACATTGCCCTTGGAAAGTTCTTCAAGGTATTTTTCGTATTGTATTTTTTGCACGTAAAAAAATTCTGATTGTGCTGTACATGAAGCAAGAAGGGTTCTTTAAGGTCCTATATCGACAAACCTTTTGTAATTTAACTAGGGTCTTGCATCTTGTGGTGCGTGGTCATGCTTCGATGAATTTAATCGAATCGATTTGGAGGTGCTTTCTGTGGTGGCACAGCAAATCCTTTCCATCCAGCGTGGCATCAACTCCGGTGCAACGGAACTACTCTTCGAAGGCACATTGCTCTCGCTAGACAAGAGCTGTGCTGTATTTATTACCATGAACCCAGGTTATGCTGGAAGATCGGAATTACCTGACAACTTAAAGGTTAGTTTCTTGCATACAAAAGTTTAATGACATTTTATAGGTTTTTTGTTCGTATCTGATTTGCTGACCTGAGAGATACCCATATCCTCCTTTCCGGAATACCCATTCCGGAAAGACTACGGTATAGAGGGCGTCCGGGCTAAGCCCTTCGCCAGTGATACGACCTCACGGGCGTCTCTGGTGGACCCGGACTCGCTAGGGTTTGTGGTTAGCTGTAAATGTAGATGAACATTCGTCCGCGACTAAAGAGGAGATTAACTATTGGACTTAGCTGTGGCAACCGTCAGTTACGCAATGCGCAACAGGAAGTGAGCATGCCTATAGCTCCGGTACCTGACTGTTCGTACCTCATACCCGCATACTAGAGGAAATCCATATTCAACAGTGGGGTGTATATAACCAAAGTATTGAAATAAATAAACAAACAATTGATAAACACATTATCTAAATTATGTACATTTTTAGGCACTATTCCGATCGGTCGCAATGATGGTACCGGACTATGTATTGATCTCCGAGATAGAATTGTATGCGTTCGGTTACCTGAATGCTAAACCGCTAGCTGTGAAGATCGTCGCTACATACAAATTGTGCTCGGAGCAACTGTCTTCGCAGAGTCATTACGATTACGGTATGTGTTTTAGTCGTGCCGTAACGTCGTCGTAGTCTAATGGTTTGACATACCGTCTCTCAAGTAGACGGTCGTGGACTCGAATCGAGCTTGTATCTCTTGAGTTTTTCGATATTTATGTGCAAATTTTAATTTGAAATTTACCATGACTTAGCCCCGCACTAGGGAAATCCTGTATCGCGGGTGCCATGGGCACACCCATAGACAACCACAAATTACACCCAAACTCACGAGAGAAATAAATGTAGGCCATACAAATATTTCTCCCGGCCCGGGAATCGAATCTGGGACCTCAGCGTGGTAGGCATGGTAACCGTTCGACCACGGTAGCAGGCTGCAAAGGAATTTAATGATGTGTGAGGTTCCGAATCCGCATTTGGTCTGCGTGGGAACCATAGCCCAAGCCCATTGTGAGCGAAGGCCTGTGTCCAGCCACTGCTGGACTTTATATATGCTGGCTATTATATGTGTTTTAGTAGTAGAGCTCATTGTAAAAGAGTTCATCTAGCGAAGTTACGTACTTACTTTGCCTATTTCTGCCGCCAAGTAGTAATGTAAGGGTGCTAGTAAAACAACAGGTCCGTGGGACTTGAGAAAAAACTCTGCGCGGAACTGCAATTGCAGCCGTGTCGCCTACTTATACCAGGTACATGAGTTGTGGACTTGATATTATAAAAAATGTAGCAACCAAAAACGAAAATTGTGTTATAGTGTGACTGTGAAGAGAAGTACAAATCTTGTATGTATTTCTAACTTCATTTGTTCGCAAATCATATATTTTATACAGTTGTTCATTAAGAAGGAAAGTGAGAAGAGTGTACAGTTATTTGGCACATAAGTAATTAAAGGTAAATGTCAATGAAAATATAGTACCTAACTATGAAAATGATATCCTTACTAGGTATGCGCGCTGTAAAGTCAGTGTTGCGCGCTGCAGGCGCACTAAAACTGCGTTATCCAGATCAAGATGAAGAAGTCATCCTACTGCGTTCTATCAAAGATGTCAACTTGCCTAAATTTTTGGAACATGATGTGCCCCTATTTATGGTAAAATATTTATACAAGCACACTATAACGGTGCAACAAAAAGGTAGATTAATATTTTGATATATGAAACTGTCCATGAGTTTGAATAACTTGAGCCAGTAATAACATTTTAATGCGAAAAAAATGTTGCGACTTTTCATACAAACATGTCGTCGCTGCAACGCAATATAAGGGAAATGGAAAAAGTTTTTGGCATAAATAAATATTATTTCTGAATTTAGTAGCTTAGTGTGACTTTTATACTATATACGAGAGTGGTTTCATAATTCCGTGACAATGTAAAGAATTTTTTTTTTTTTAAGTTATGGTTTATTTTTCTACGTAATCTCCTTTTAACTCTATATGCCTCTATGTCCAGCGATATTCCAACTTGTTCAGCTTATCAAAAAAATATTTTTTGCTAAACTGACAAACAGCTATCACTCCTCATTTGATGCAAATCCGTAAAAAAAAAACAGATAAAAACGTCAAATGGGGCCACATCTGAATACGGAGAGGGTGTGGTAATAGTTTGTATCATAATTCGACAAATTTAGATGTTCTGATTGCAGATGAGAAACGGAGTAGTCAAAATACCGGTTTCTCCATCTTCAAAAAATATAGGAACTGGCCTGACATTGCGCCAAACAGGGATCTGTAGAAATCGAGAGGGAGGCCTTTACCCAGAAGTTGCTCACAATAACAGACTAATTAAAAAAACATTGTCCTACCTTTTTATTTCACCCTGCATATTCTTTATAGCGCACACCGATATAACTGTCTGTTAATGCCAAAATTTGTTTTCATTGCGCTATAACGGAAATGAAAGGGGTTTGAACCATTACGTCGGGGATAGTGTAAATCCGCGTATGTAGGCATTGGTAAAAGCGCGTATCTGCAGTAAACCTAATTTTACAGGAGAGAGATTGAAAGTTATTACTTTGTTATTTCAATGACAGTAAGCATTAATTTATATTGTCTACGGACTGGTAACAATAGGTTCCCGTAAATCACGCCAATTTGGTTGCCACGACATTACGCGTATTTGATTTGGCCACTAAATTACCAAAATGGAAACTTATAATCCAATGTTAGTTACGCGTTACTATCCCCGACGATTTGTTATTTGTCTCCACATTTATTTTGGATATGTTTTTCGAAATGGAGTATCCTCGGCTTTGATAGTTATATTTTTAAACCAGACTCTACGTGATTTAATCTCGTTGCTAATTAGCTTTTTATACTATACGTATACTGTGTATTGATGCTAGCTATCGATATTATATTATTGCGAGACTTTCGGCTGCAACGTCGAACAGAATGGAACTCATTTTCAGATAAGTAATGGTAATGGTAAATGGTAGAGTGAAAAGTTAGTAGTTAATTAGTCAGCCGTGAGCATGGAACCTGTTAGTTTGTTTGAAAAAACAATCATATACGATTGAGATCGAGAGAGATTGAGATATCTAGGTACCACTTTTCTATCATGTTACAGGGTATTATATGTGACTTGTTCCCTGGTTTACCTTTGCCTGAGGCGGGCTTGCCGCACCTAGTTGCATGCCTAAAAGAAGAATGCGTTCCTCTTAATTTACAATCAAATGATTTCTTTGTGGAAAAGGTAAAAGTTCTTAAACATTCATTATTATGTAACGTGGCCGTTATAGAAATTTTACACCCATCGTTTTTTTCTTGCAGGTGCTACAATTATATGAGATGATTCTCGTACGACACGGACTCATGTTGGTCGGATTCCCTTTCTCGGGGAAGACAAAGTGTTACCATGCACTCGGTGCTGCATTAGGCGGAGTATCGCGAAAAGTGCGTGATTTACAAATAATTTCATAATATCAGTCCGTCCATCTTTTTGTTAATATCGTCCATTTTACTTAAAAACCTAAGTCTATACGGTTCAAAGCCACAGTTGATTCTTGCGATGACAGTCGATAAATAAATAGAATTAATGAGGGGGGATATTTGTTCCTCTCTTCGAGAGGTTTATGATTAAGTATTTCTCAGGTTAGGTTATTTAGGAAATAACCAATCCAAAAGTAACCAGTTTGCGTTAAAATCGTTATGGAACTTGCACGTCGAAGAAGGTTCACAAACCTCCGATAACCTCCGAAAACCCACATTGGGCAAGCGTGGCGGACTATTATCTTCGCACGAGAGGAGACCCGTGCCTAGCATGGGGACGTATAAATGGGTTGATAGTGATGGAGATACAACATACAACTTTACATATGTATATTAGGAATGCTAAAATTTATTATGATACTAATGGGGTTCATAATCGTCTTTTTTCAAATTAAACGTTCTTTTTATGTGGCCAGTGCTTCATATCGTCTGTTTAAAGGTAAAACCACATAAGTGATATCTTTCACAAAAATTTCCAAATAATGTACGTGTTGTGAGAAAATCACCATCTTTCTGCAGTTAAAACTGTGTTGAGTTTCACCTGCAGAAAGATAGTTATTTCCTTATCATACTTATATAAATTAAAGACTTTTGTGGAAAATGTTACCTATGTGGTTTTACCTTTAAACAGACGATTTGAAGCACTGGCCACATAAAAAGAACGTTTAATTTGAAAAAAAGAATTATTTTAAATCGTATTTTGATTTCGATTAATACGGTCTGGGATATTTGGCCAGCAGTTTATATGTATTTGGTTATCATAATTCAACCTTTTTTGGCAAAGTTCTAAATATGTCCATGAGTATATAAAAATATGTAAAAATTACTATTTGGCACTTAAGGTTCATTACCTCTCAGCTACAGATACATTAATGTGATATGAAAGTGATATAAATACTTGTGTGTGAAATAATGTGATATAATGAATTTTTGCACAGGGATTGATGGAGGAGAACCCTGTGGAATGGACTGTGATAAATCCGAAATCTATCACGATGGGTCAGCTGTACGGGCAGTTTGACCCAGTATCACACGAGTGGTCCGACGGAATATTAGCTGTGAGCTATCGCGCCTTTGCTGTCTCTACAAATGACAACAGGTACTGTATTAAATTTTTAACGTAACTCTTTTATAGCACATTATGTCACAAGGACGGTAATTCTAATACGAACATAAGGGCAGGTTCAATATTCTTAATTGTCCGAAACTTTGTAATTGTTCCGCTCGTGTGGCATGCAATGTTTTTCATCGCACTGGCGAGAAAGCATTTTTCCTTTTTTTTAAATGAAATACTGCATTGTGTTGTTAGGGGCGGTAAATAAGGTATTACGAACTAGATTCTATTAGCTTTCGGAGTCAAGGTTCGTAATTCCCGTACCGCTTGAAACATACAATATTTTCCATCACACTTGCACTTTAAAAAAACTCGTTACCGACCATAGCTGTAATGAGAAGAAAAAAGGCCCGAGGGTTTTATTTAGGGCATTTATACTTAAGTTAGCCTGTATTCTATAATACTATTTACGTGCAAGTGTGATGAAAAATAACTTGTAATCGTACTAACCTCTAAGATAAACCATAATCACTTCTAGCATATTGTGTGTTGTGTTGTTTTGTTTTGTTATTATTTATTTGTTTGGTGTTTATCGAATTTTTGGGTTTTCGCTAATGATACACATTGCGATGAAATATTTTCTTCGGATCTAAATCGCGTATGTTTGTTTTTTTAAGCAAACTAACGTTTCGAGACCTTCGCTGGCAGGCTGACAGGTAACATTTTGATAGCAGTGGAGCTCCTTGTTCGTCTAGGGTAGTATTGCCACCTTACCTATTTCTGCCGCCAAGCAGTAAAGTCAACATTACTGTGTCCGGTTTTGGTAAGGGTAAGAGTGGGACTTGTCAACTTATGTATCAGGGTGACGGGCGCAGTGGCAGAGCCTCTCAGGTCTTTGTGATTTGAAGTTTTGAGTGGCATTGCAACTATTATGGTTAGGAGTCTAGCTTACTATCAAGCGCACGACTTTTTCGTCCAGTTACTTGATGTTATAAAAAAAAAGTATAGAAACATTAGTTTTTTTGAAAATATACGTCATTTAGATCCGAAAAAATAGCTGCGTTTCCAATTATTAAGTGTTATTATTATTTTTCTCTTTGCTTCATCAACCTTTGTTTATTAGATTGTTCTCGATAATTATTATTGTAACATATATCTAGTGCTGCGTTTTACCAATATATGTGAAGGTCTTTGTTTTGCGTTAACTGCATCGTTATCCCTTTTAACCCTTTGACCCATCGAGCTCGTGGTTTTTACGCTCCACTCTGCCCGGTGAATAAAGGCATAACAGAGGTGGGTGTTATTCCCTCCGGGATATCTTTTCGTCCTTCGCGTCGTCGTTACTAAGTAACAGCTCGTCCTACGGGTTGTTAACATTATTATTAAATCAAATTAGTCTTTCTTTATTTTAATTGTTCCTTTCACAGAAAATGGCTTATTTTCGACGGCCCGGTAGACGCGATTTGGATCGAAAATCTGAATACGGTACTTGATGATAATAAAAAACTCTGCTTAATGAGCGGAGAAATTATTCAGTTAGCTCCAACTACTAACTTAGTATTTGAACCCATGGATTTAGAAGCTGCATCTCCAGCGACGGTACTATTCATATGCATATACGTATAATAATAATTATATAGATCTTTAATTGATCCAAATTTCACACGACAGGGATTTAACGTTATTACTTTGTTATTTCAATGGCTAGGACTTTCATTTATGCACAGTAAGCATTAATTTATGTTATCCACGGACTGATAAAAATAGATTCCCGTAAATCACGCTAATTTGGTTGCCACGATATATACGCAGATTTGATTTGGCCACTAATATACCGAAATGGAAACTCATAACCAATGCTAGTTCCCGACGATATGACACATTAACTGCACATGAATATTTAATTGAAGAAACATTTTTTGTATAAGTAAATAAATGCGCATTTGACCTCCATCTCACCTGATGGAAAGCGACAATAAGGTCAACGATGTAGCATGCACACTTAAATAGAGCCCATTCATTTTCGCCTTCAAAAGGCCTAAGTTATTACAGTGTAAGGGGACCTTACCTGTTTCTGTTGCCAAGCAGTAATGTGAACATTACCGCGTTCCGGTTTCGGTAGGGGTGCTGGTGGAATTACATGCACATACGACTTGTCAACTTATGTCTCAGGATGTCAGGCGCAGTGGCAGTGCTCCTCAGATCTTGGTGATTTAATGCTCCTCAGTGGCACTGCAACTGGACAGGCGTGTCGCTATCCACCAGGCACACGACTTGTTCGTCCCGTCGCTTAGTATTATTAAAAGAAATACGTATTGTGTAGCACTGACGACAGGTTATTTCAAAAGTCACATGATGGGTTGAACAAGTCGTGCGTCTAGCAGTAACCGATATGCCTATCAATAACAGTTGCAGTTGCCAATTGCCAATCAGGTCCATAAATCGCAAATATCTGAGGGGCGCTACCACTGCATCCAACACACTGACACATAAAGTTGACAAGTGTCATGTGCCTGTAGTTTCACCAGCATCTTTACCCTTCAAAACCGAAAAGCAGTAATGCTTACATTACTGCTTGGCGGCAGAAGTAAGTAACGTAACAGTACTTCCCTGGACAAACTCCTTGCAAGTAGCTCTACTGCCGTCGAGGATATAATCAGAAATAGAGACGAAATAAGTGTCATCCATCACTGGTAACTCATCAAGCAATTGGCTCTTATGCCACTTTAAATATCAACTCTCGTTTGCACTGAAGTCACAAATTAGGAAGCTGAAATAGTACATACATCTCCAACAACTGACCTGTGTGAACGTCTCCGTATATTCCAAAAATATTCTGTATTTATTGTAATAAAGATAATGTCTCTAACTATAGCGGGCTGTTCCATTCGGTAGTGTGGAACAGCAAAACATCTAATTACAAAACAAAAGGAATCACTTTTCATCAGTAATTAAATATTAAATATGTAAGAAATAAAGTAAAGGGCCCGAAACGTCGGTTTGCTTGAAAAAAAAAAAAACAACAAATATACGCGATTTAAATCCGGAAAAATAGTTTCATTTCCTATGTGTAATAATCGCGAAAACCTAAGGAACTCGTTAAATACGTAATTTTTCAATTTTCGTTCGTTATAGTAATGCTCAAGTTAAAGTGATCGATTTGAAGTGAAACAATTGACAACACCCGTCAATTGTGTCGGATTTGGGCTGGCCAATCGGAGTGCATTTGTCACCGTAATGATATGGCAGAATAGTTTTCAAACAAATCAAATGACATCTCGTCTCTTTTTCTGGTTATATACTCGATATACTCGATGTCTACTGCTATTAAAATATTTCTAGCTAAAACTTAATTTTCACGATGTGTGTTTCTATACCTTTTTATTACACCCTGTCTATTATAACAAATGAAAAGAATAAATGAGGTAAATTTAATAAATTATAGAATCTTTATCCAAAATTAAATTAAACACCTTCCTGTTAAAGTTAGGGATAATTTCTTCGGCTGGCAGTACCTTCATTAATTTTAGGTATCACGGTGTGGTATGATCTACATGGAACCGAAAGGTCTTGGTTGGAAGTGTTTGATGGAATCGTGGTTGAACACTCTTCCGGCGACATTGCACAGCGTCAACAAGAGTGTTATCAGAAATCTATTTAACCGCTTCACCTCCCCATTGCTTTGGCTTGTTGAATATTCTGGACAGGTTAAGGTAAGTTCTCATCAAGAATAATTTAAATTTTATTCGATCATATTGATTAATAAGCGTTTGATCACGGGAGTGATCTTCTCATATTTTAAGTCGGTATCGATGCGGTGCTAAAGCAATCACTGGTGTAAAAATCACGAACTAATACAGCGGATTATTAAAAGTAAAAAAATAAATATAATTAAATAACTTCGTTACGGATGAACCAATGTCGTTGCTGATTATTTTGAAATGTGTGTCAATGACACAGTAATGACAAAGTAATGACTTTATCCAACTACTAATACGGTTGGCAAATTTTCAAAAAATAGTTGTAAACTTTAAAAAAATTATAAATTATTTTTATTTATATATAAATTATGACTATTATTTATTGTAATGAACAAACATAGGCTATTAATTATTATTATTATTTTCTTCTTTCTCAGTCTTTTTTATTATTATTAGGCCAAATTGCCAGAAATATTATTATTTATCCGGAGAATTATTTTACTCTGTTGTTGTCACACCGTCATATTAAGACCTGGTTGTCCACCATATGCCACCAACGCATTCTTTCATATTTCGGCCACATGATGCGCGGAGGCGATGTAAGTGAAACTGATTGTAGTTGAAAACACAGGAAGGCGAGGCGAAGGTCGTCGCTCAAGTGAATGTTTTAGCACAGTCGTATAGATATAGTCGCTGGATAGAAACAGATGGAGGCAGATCACCCGCTTCAGAAGAAGGCACGAAGCTGACCACGACCCTCAGACACGAGGGAGCGACTAGAGAGAGATTGTCACACCGATTCTACTCTCGCATTTGTATTCAAACTATGTGTGTTCAAATTAAGGGAATTTAGAAAAAAGGTCATTTCACAGAGTTGGGGTTTATTTAACACTGTGCTGACTTGCTTAAATACTCAGACGGATCCGTGTAAGAAAGAGGTTTTTTAAAATAAAGTTATATGTTCATTTTGTGAACTTATTTCAGCAAATGTACGTAACTTCTCGAAGCAACCTATTAGCAGCATGCATGAAACTATACGACTGCTTCATGCAAGATTTCGAAGATGAAAAATATGTAGAATCTTTGTCTGATTTGGATATTAGAGCACAATTAGAAGTAAGTTATGACAATTTATTTTCATTGAAACTGTAATTGGAATTGGAAGGGCAGTCTTTAAAAACGCTTAATATTTTCACAGGGCACTTTCTTCTTTTCGGCTATTTGGTCTATGGGAGCTACATTAGAAGCTAGTGGGCGAGCGAAATTTGATATGATGTTCCGTGGATTACTAGATAAGGAGTTTCCAGAAAAAGTATGTAGTGCATTTCATATATTCTCGATTAATTGCAAAAAATTATATTACACTAAACTTTAGGATGTATATTATTTATTCTGATTGTCATATTTTATCGTTATATTCAGTTTGTTCTTTTTTCTTTGTATAATTCACTGCAATATTAAGACTATTCTGCTCAATTTAATGCAAGCTGTGTTTCATCTTTAAATAGTTGTGCATCTAGCTAAACACCCTTTTATCTTACTTGTATCGATGTAACAATTGCTGATGAACCTCAATAAATAAATAAATAAAAATAAATATATTTAAAGAGGTATAATTCCCTGTTTTTTTATAATATCAAGTGACGGGACGAACTAGTCTTGTGCCGGATGGTAGGCTACACGCCTGTTCATAACAGTTTCAGTACCACTCAAGAGCTTTAAATCGCAAAGACTGAGGCGCACTGCCACTGCGCCCGTTACTCTGAGACATAAGTTCCCAAGTCCCACGTGCCTGTAAGTTCACCAGCACCCTTACACTTCAAAACCGGAACACAGTAATGTTAATATTACTGCTTGGCGGCAGAATTAGGCATGGTTTAACTGACTTAAAAAAAATGAGGAGGTTCTCAATTCGATTGTATGTTTTTTTTTGTATGTATGTAACGCAATAATTCCAGCTGCATTTGTGAACCGATTTTGATGATTCTTTTTTGTTGGAAAGAGTCGGTAGTGGTCTCATTTAAATTTCAAGACAATATTCCACCTCTAAGGGAGGCAAACTAAGGGATGAATTCTGTTTCGCTCACTTTTCGGTAACCGATTTCAATAAAATTTGTCAAATAGATGTAATTCCACGACTTTTTGAGATCGGTTTTGTTAGTACACTGTACCGAGATAATTTTATTTTAACTAAAAATATGTAATGTTGCAGGTCAAGGAAGCGCTAAAGTATCCTCGTGACGTTGCTAAGCCCGACAAAAACTATATTTTTCTTATTCCAAAAGAGGGTACAGTTTTTGACTACCGGTATATTAAAGAGGTTAGAATAAAAACAAGAAAAATAAAATTTTCTCTCAATTAATCTTTCAATCTTTAACAATCGCATTGTTTTGTAAATATTAAAATTTACTGCCGATTTTTAGGGTAAAGGTAAATGGAAGCCCTGGCAGGATGATGTAAATACAGCGCCTCCAATAAGTCGAGATACGCCACCAAACCAGATTCTAGTCACTACATTGGACAGTGTTCGCTACTTGGCACTTTTCAAGTTACTTGTCCAAAACCAAAAGCCTGTAATGATGGTGGGGCCCACTGGGACAGGGAAATCATCATATATTGTTGTAAGTTATATTACTCTAATACACTGTAAAATTAATGACTCTGATTGAGTTTTTGAACTTAGTAACAAATACTTCGCTGTTTTCTGTATGTCGATGTCCACAAAAAAAGATGAATATTCATCGAAAACAAATCGAAGACGAGTGAATCTATAAATTCTTAAAAGCTTTTCCTGTTTTGACAGGATTTCTTAGTGAAAAGGGTTGACACAAAAGTGTACAAAGCTTTGGTTATGGGATTCTCAGCGCAAACCACTTGTAATCAGACACAAGACATTATTATGGGCAAACTAGACAAGAGAAGAAAAGGTAGGTTATTCGTGCTTTCTTGATGAGTGTATGGAGTCACCACACTTCTCGATCCGGAATAGCTTGAACTCGGTCAGAAAAAGTTTTATATATACGTAATAACAGTGGAAAAGACGTTATAGAGCTTGCGCACACGGCATATTTTATATGCGCAGACGACACGCGTTTCGCGAACGCGCATTTATGGCGCCATAGAGGCTCAGAAAACAGATTATTGCGTTTGTATCGATTCAAATGATACGATATTAAATATTATACAGTGATTTTATTTTCTCAATGTCCCTTCCGAATGCATACAGATATTAATTTCCATGCCTATAATAATTTGAATTTTGAACAACGTTCTTTATTGTTGTTTTGTTTTCTGTGTAAACTATATAGGGCTGTAAAACGATTTCCATATTTTTAATAACATTTACTCCATGTCAATAAGCAAGTTAACAAAAATATAAAGTAAAGGAAATTGATTTTGGACTTTTGGAAAATAACCATTGTTGTCTTTCTTGAACGAATCGGCTTCTTGTAAATACAAAATAAATACAAGGATACGCTAAATTAAATTATCTGTCGTACCTGTGACTTTAGCGGCTATCCTCCCATTGGATAATAAATAAAAAATGTAATAGCAACTCTATCTACTTCCAAATCGACCGAAAGCGTCCGGTCTATACCAAAGGCAAAGGACAAAAGAATAAAACTCGATGATAGCCGAAACACGAATTTTGCCGAGGAACATTCCGAAAATAGAAGCACTGTACGTTGATCGACGTTACATTGCACTACAATATGAACAAAGTCAGTAAAACAAGATTTATGTACGTAACTGTAGATCTTATGTCAGCGCCAGATGAGATAAATTAAACACCTATTAGTTGACCTTTCTTCACCATACATTTGCTCATTGGAGTTCTGCTATTTTCTTTTTTCTTCACGTTGTTCTCGTCAAACCAAGCTTATTGCTGTCCTAGAAGAGAAATGAAAATAGAAGTAAATGGCAATAGTTTAATAATTATTTCAAGATACAAGATATTTAAAATACTTCAATGGCGTAACTTTTTAAATTATGACAACTGAGAAATTGTATTTTTATATTACTAGGTGTGTTCGGACCACCCGTAGGTTGTTATTGTGTGGTGTTTGTCGATGATGTAAGTATGCCTCAAGCAGAAACATACGGCGCACAGCCCCCAATTGAGGTACTAAGACAAGGTATCGATCTTGGCCTCTGGTACGACAGAAAAACTAACGTTGCTATGCATCTCATTGACGTGCAGGTAAGTAAATTTTTTGCGATGATTTTAAACGAAAGTAATTTAGGGTTATGAGTTCTAATTAGCATGCTTTAATACTTTCAAAAAAAAAATCGAACCCTTTGTGTATAAAGCCACATCGTAAAAATAATAAAAACTAAACTAATTATGTACATTCTCCATTGCCTCCGTGGCCGAACGGTTACCGTGTTGGACTGCCACACAGAGGTCCCGGGTTCGATTCCCGACCGGGAGAAATATTTGTATGGCCTACATTTATTTCTCTCGTGAGTTTGGGTGTAATTTGTGGTTGTTTTCGTGTGATGGAACCAGCGATACAGGGGGTTTCTCTCGGGGCTATGAGTGTATGCGTTATTTCTTTTTAATACATGACAGGCAAACGACTCCACTCCACCTGATGTTAAGTGGAAAGTGGTATCCAAACGCGAAGGAACCTTATTATTATATATATGCGCAATTTCAAAGGTACCGACTAATTTTGCTCTTAGATTCTTTAGACCTCTCTCTTGAAAAGATGTCATTTTGCAGAAGTGGCCTTATTTAGCCAACGGTGCGTTTTTTTTAAATCAAATGACGGCAGTAACGGGACGAACAAGTCGTGCGCCTGGTGATAATCGACACGCCTGTCCATAACAGTTGCAGTGCCACTTAGAGCTTAGAACCACAAAGCTGAGGGGCACTACCACTGCGCCCGTCATTCTGAGATATAAGTTGACAAATCCCATCCCAACAAACACAAGCACACAAGATGCTTATATTATACTTTTTATATATATTTTTATATATTTATAGTATAATTAAGTTCTTCAGTAGCGTATTCGAAAGTAATTAAACAGGTGCAAGACGTAGGATAGCCGTACAACGGTAAATGTAATCCTAAGAGAGATAAAAAGGCTAGTCATAGTGCTATTGTGTGGGCATTTGATGTAAAGCAGAGTTATAAATAGCTTTTCTAACACCGTGAGGTGTTGTAGAGGGCTTTTGAAGTTAGAAGTGTTTGAATGGAGTGATTAACTTAACTTCGTTTAAAACGCTGTAGGTGGTATATAGTATGTTTCTAACACCTGGAACTGTTAAATAGATTTTACTACAGCCTTTGAAACGCTATATCTACAACAGATAAATATATTTCTAAAGTAGCGCTTAGGCCGTTATATTTGAGAGTTCTACAGTAACTTTACTTCTAAAATTAAGTTTTTAGAAGTAAAGTTACTGTAGAACTCTCAACCACAACAACTTGTAAGCAATAGCACGTCAATACCACAATTGTAACAGCGTTTAAATCGGTAGAATGGTGTTAGTAAACTCTGAAGGCTGTCGTAACAGAGACGCCATTACAGTTTTTAATAAAACCAATTTTTTAGGTTATTGATATATTTTTTAATATCTTAAATATATATAAAAACCGAATCCACTTCACACTTTCTCACCCATGACCCTAAAGAAACTTCCAACAAAGCTGAAATATCTTATTTAAACTAAATTCAAACTTCACACACTCTAATTAAATGTACTTTTTACACAAAAACTGCGCATGCTGAAGGCGTGTAAAAATTTTAGCTAAAATATATGTATATATTTACAATAAACTGGTACTCGCACTTTCATTTTGCATGTATTAAACGGAAAATTTATTTTAGTAATCTATTGTCATTTTTTATTTACAATCATATCCTGCATCACTTATTTCCAGTCTGCAAGGTCACGGTCTTTATGAGCAATAAAATGTGTTTTGTTTGTTTCCCCATAATATTGCTGTTGAATATCTAGCATAGCGCCGTAAACTCTAATTGAGAGGTACAGTCGCGACTAAATACGATGCGAACGCTATAGTCGCGCTACAAGAATTTATTTTAGATAATTAGGTGCACATTACCGCTCACTTAGCTCCTTTGTATTACTTAGATGCACATTTACCGCGCACATCTTCTTTCTCCCTCCTTAGTATCTTCGTACTAACATACATTTACGACCACTGTAGGACCCATAGTTTATAAATCGGTGCTCATTTTGGGGGAGGTACAGCGGCGCTGTAGCCGCTTATACGTACTGTAGAACTTATAAATGCAACCTATGCCGTTATAAAGAACTTCTAACTGGCTATTGTGTGTCTTGTTATTAGAGCTTGTGTGCGTTTCACCAGCACCTTTCAAAAACCGAAACACAATAATGCTCATTATTATAATTTATTATTACTACTTGACGGCAGAAGGTGGTAAGGTGCTTGCCTGGACAATCACTTTCACAAGTAGCTCTACTGCTGCTATTGAAGTTGTTGTTTTATAAAAGTACATTTACGTAGTTGTAAAGTCACGATGTCGTCCTTCCACCAGGCCTACTTATCTACCCTTCACCTTTACTTGAATGATAAATTGAAGCTTATGTTTGTTGCTCCTCATGACATGTCTGAGATATTCCCATTTTCTTTTCTGTATGGTTTTCAGTGTCTCGGGGCCATCTTTGCATCTAGGTAGTGTCTTTAGTAGTAGTAATTGTAATTATGTAGGAATTGGAAGCTTCGTCTGTACACCCACAATTCCAGCAACTCTCAACTTTGTAGTTGTGGTTTGCGTTAGGTTCAAGTTCCGTCGAGAACTTTCTTCATTTTCGAGAAAGCATCCACTTATAAACATCCATTACCGTAATGACTTCTCAGTGACTCTTAGTGAAATTAAAGAACGTACTAAAAAAATTACTAAATTTACGACAATTGTTTAAATGGTACTTAAATTTGCTGTATGTTTTTTGAAACCCAGTTTATGTGTGCCATGGGCAAGCCGACGCCAGGTGCAAAGTTAGTGACTCCACGATTTTCAAGGCATTTCTCCTTCCTTTGTATTGACGAGTTTGACGAAGACACACTTAGGGTCATATTCTGTAAGATTATGCTGTGGCATCTGGACACGAGGTAATAATTATTTTATAATTAATAATACGTGTAGTTTAGTTTGAATATTTTTTATCTCTTAGGATGAGGCCACACTAACGTAAATTTGTGAGTTGTGTAATTGACGCTGCATTCGGTTTCATATAAAAGTCCGGTTTGTTCCACACGACGACGCAAAATAAGTTGTGTGCTGACTAACGCGCGTAATTACAACTGAATTTCGGTCGCGCCGTGCAACCTGCTGCTGGGGGTGATAAAAGGGGTGTTTCGTTTCTTGCTCCATTACACTATATGACACAAACACCCCGTACAAATGCATAAAAGCAACTGAATAAAGTACCTTCGCCTTACGCCCCAACCGAATTTCTGTTGAACGTTAAATTACGCGATTCAAAAAACGCGACTCACGACTTACAAAACTACGCTCGTCTGGCCTCATCCTAAATGTCGTATTGCAGAGGTTTTTCAAAAGAGTTCGACCCGTGTATTGAAGAAATAGTCAGTGGAACGTTAGAAGTCTATCAACAATGTCGACTAAATTTACTTCCAACACCATCAAAGTCACACTATACGTTCAATCTACGGGATTTCTCAAGAGTTATACTGGTGAGTAATTTATTTAATACAATCAACTCTATGACTTGCAATTTTTGGTCAGCAATTGCACAAAAAGCGTACTGCGCCCTACGTGTTCAATATAATAATGCGTTCAGGATGTTGTTGAAGCTGCTGCGTTACTGCATCGCATCAACGCTGTAAAAAAAATGTTCGCAGATAGCAGCGCATACGGATAGCTTCTAATCCATAATCAGAAAGCGACAAGCCTCCTTGACGCAGCAGTTGCGCACCAGCACCATCGCAACCTGACCATAGTAACAATCAGACTTGATTGTCCGTTTAGATCGATTACACACGACTTTTAGCAGCGCGTCTGCAGCAATTCAGTTGCGATGTAGTAGCTAATATTCTACCTTTATACATACTTTGTATACGCACAGGTACTACTTAAGCAGCGATATCATCAAGATACCAACGCGATGCAACCTTGATCTACGTTTTTAGTGATTCAATATACCTAAGCGACGGCATCCATGCAGTCGCGTAATTGTATCGATGCAGTCGCCTGTTTGCATTGATGCAATTGCATTTAAACGCGCGTTTGTATCGCTACTATCGCTTATATCGTTTTAACTCGCTGCATGTGATAATGGATGCAGGTCCGAAATAAATGTTTTTTAACACTTGTTGGTTAAACGTGTAACTTATTGGTTTCCTGTTCAGGGTGTTCTCCTGTCGGTACCCGAAGTGACTCCAGATCTGCAGTCAATAAAGAGGTTATGGATTCACGAGTGTTTGCGTATTTTCTCCGACCGTTTAGTAGAAGAAGCGGATCGTGTGTGGCTAGTAAATTGTTTACGCGATGCTACCGCGAAGTGCCTGAACGATAATTTTGATTCTATGTTGTCGCGGCTTACCGAAGGTTCTGAAGATAAAACGGTAAATATTTGCGACTAAGTAAATAAATAACTATTTTCTTTACACTTATATTTACCAGCCCGTTACACCAAGTACCAAGTACACTTATATTTCAAATAAACATATATTTATCGGAAAGTAAAAAAAAAAATATTCGTGTACACTACATCTGGACAGGCAAAGTTTCATTATTGATGTGTTTTAATATAGTGCGAAAATAGATCGTCCATTTGTTTGGTTTTTGCCTCAGCCAAAACTACTTCTTTGTTCAAACTTCGAAAATACTAAGTAATTGATCTAACTAATCACAGAATGGAAAATAAATATAACAGTTTTCAAAACCTATATTTTTTCTCAGATTACTGATCAGCATTTGCGAAATCTCATATACTGCGACTTTGCAAATCCAAAAGTTGACACAAGATTCTACATGGAGACTATTAACATGGAACATTTGAACTCTACAGTGGAAGCTTTTCTTGTGGAATTCAACAATATGTCCAAAAAGCCGATGAATCTTGTGTTGTTCAGGTATTTAAATATTTCCAAGTTGCAATTTTCTACACTCAGTCAAACTATATTATTATCGTGGTAGCTGTACCTGGCATGCGTTGTAAACATGTGATGTCTCTGGTCTTGAGCCAGGGTGGCAGACTATGGCCTTAACCCTCTCTCTAGAGGAGAGCCGTGGCCAGCAGTGCGATCTAATACATCAGAAAGTAAAACAGCGTGACTCGTATGTGTACACGCCCGCCATGCGGTTACGAACGCACACATCCACATAATTTTGCGGTGCACTCGAGTTGCATAGTGCGGGTCGTCACATGTGCCATTCATTATAGAAGCGTTCGCTCGGTTTTTAAAAGATAACATCAAAGAGTAGACGTGTTCATTGTTGTGTTTATGGTGGTTTGAACAAGAGTAACTCAAATTCAGAATTGTTTAGCACTTCATTTCAATTTCATAATCATACTCCCATATGCGAGATACCAATCCGCGATCCTCGTAAAAATATATCAATATGTAAGTATTGTTTTTAAGAAAGGTTATTCCAATATGGCACGAGAATACTGTGATAAACTCCTTAATTTTTTCAAATTATATTTACAATTTTTAGATACAACTAAAATAATAATTTGACAACAATGATTTTATGTGAGCCAACCATACACTCCGAGCAAAGTGTAGGCGTTGATGCGCCAAATAGGCGGTAGTCGTCTTATTATACTATTCTGTAAGCGTTGTGTAATTGTTGTCAGATACGAACTCCTGTAACACAGTAGGGCTGGCACGATAAGGCGCGACTTGTGCGAGAGCGACATCGTGAGATCTCTATGCGAGAATAGCAGTATACTTGTTAGGTTAAAAAAAAAAAGGTTATACTTGGGGAATCCTGGTCTTCATTACTATGTTACAACCATTTTGTAACAATATACAATATTAATTAACTTATATATTGCTGCAATTCAAGACTGTGATAAAGTTACAATAAATAATTTTATATCCTCCTCTTAGTACGAGTCAAACCTGTTTTATAATACTGGTAACACTATAAGAAATGACTAAAGGTTTTTAGATTAACTTTAAAATAATATACTGGCTACTATTTCAGATTTGCCATCGAACACGTATCTCGAATTTGCCGTGTTCTGGCGCAACCGAGTTCTCACGCCTTACTCGTGGGTCTCGGTGGTTCTGGCAGACAGTCACTCACTAGACTAGCCGCGCATATCAACGAATATGATCTCTTTCAGGTAACGAATATACATATTCTTTAAAGTTTGAATACGATGCGACAGGTTTGTTTTAGCCTTATTAGCAAGAAACATGAAATACGACAAATTAATTTAATTCGTACCCTTGATGTTTTAAATTCATGCGACGGCGGGGCCTGCCGAGAAGGTATTCGCAGGACGATCTTGATGATTTAGAACCGCCAAAGACAGACAGCAGTGGAGGATTTTTGAGGAGTCCTTTGCCCATACGTCATACGCTACGTCATATGGATAGCATACGTCAAAAGTGCTTTTGAAATAAAATAAGACGAACTACATGAAACTATTATGTAAAGGGTCTTCCAAAAAGAGGTTTCACTTTGATATGTGAAAAAAACGAGAATTTTTAAGCGAAATCATTGGATGAATTGAAAAGAGGAGGTATGCCATTAATGATGGAAAACAATATCCGTTAAATGGCCGCCACGGCTGCGCTTGCAGGACCATATTCTTTTCATGAAATTTTCCATCACCAATCCGCACATTTGCGGCTGTTTATCCTCGATAACTTCACGAATTCCATGTTTGAGGTCTTGAATCGATTGTGGGCTATTGGCATAGACCTTATCTTTCACGTAGCCCTAAAGAAAAAAGTCCAAATGTGTTAATCACAAGAACTCGGTGGCCAATTGTGAACGCCTCTTCGAGAAATAACATGGTCAGGAAATTTTTCACGCAAAAGAGCGATGGTATCGTTACTTGTGTAACACGTAGCGCCGTCTTGTTGAAAATAAACGTCGCCACATCAATATTTTCCAATTCCGCCAATACAAAATCATTGATCATCGTTCGGTAGCGCCATCCATTCACCGTAACAGTTGCTCCAGCCTCATTTGCGAATTGGTGATGGAAAATTTCATGAAAACAATATGGTCTTGCAAGCACAGCCATGGCGGCTATTTAAGTGATATTGTTTTCCATTATTATTGGCATACCCTCCTCTTTACAATTAAATAAACATCCGATGATTTCGCTTAAAAATACTCGTTTTTTTTTACATATCAAAATGAAACCTCTTATTGGAAGACCCTTTATGAGTATATAATGTGAAACTTTGTAAGTGTCCTGCTTAAGCAAAAAAAAGTTGGCGTCTAATTTCCTTCGTGGAATCTTTGTCATTTTTCAGACGTGACTTGTTGCACACTGATGCAGTGTGCGATATTGTTACTTTTTATTTTGATAATAGAGTTTCATTAGATAAAATTAAATTTTGTCAGTCGTGATCATGTAAAGAGCCCGAAGCGTTGGTTTGTTTTGAAAAGAAAAATAAACAACTATACCAGTTTTAGATCCGAAAATATAGTTTTATTTCCAATATGTTAACAATACTAACTCGATATTTAAATTCAGGTTGAAATGAGCCGAACTTACGGTAAGAATGAATGGCGAGAAGATTTGAAAACTCTGCTAAAGAAAACAAGCACCCCGGACTTACACATGGTTTTCTTGTTTATTGAATCACAGGTAAATTCGCTTCAGTTGCTTTAATTAAAGATAGCAATTGAACGAACAATAAAATAAGGATTTTTGTAGATTAAAGAAGAAGGATTCTTGGAAGACGTCAACAATATGTTAAATTCAGGAGAGGTACCCAACATTTTTGGTGCTGATGAAAAGGCAGAGCTTTGCGAGAAAATGCGTGTGGTAAGTTGCGAGATATTGAAGTAGTCATATTTGATAATTGGTTTGTACCAAAATGGGTGTTAGTAATTTGAAGACTTCGGTGTTCCAATTATTTGTACCATGGGCGCTAGATGAAGTGGTTCCGAGTTCAATTCCCGGTAAGATCAATTTGGGAAATGAACTTTTTCTAAGTTGTTTCGAGTCTGAGTGTTCTAAGTTTTTCCCCAGAGTTTCCGTTACGTTGGTACTCACAGTACAGGGGTATTCATAGTTTGAGACCAGGTGATCGGTGTGGTTGTCTGGCATGTTAAATTTGGAAACAACTAAAAACCTACCATGATAATTACAGGTGGACCGTCAACGCGACAAATCCTTACAAACGGACGGCAGTCCCACTGCGCTATACGCTTATTTCGTGTCTATCGTTCGCGACCAGCTACACATAGTGCTAGCCATGTCTCCAGCCGGTACTTCTCTGCGTACGCGCATCCGCAAGTTCCCATCGCTTGTCAATTGCTGCACCATCGATTGGTTCCAGGTACGAGCTGTATGAAAAAAGTTTCATGTTAATTCTGGAGAAGGTATTTGCATATTACTTTGACATTGTCTTATGAATGGCAAAAATATTCAATTAGATCAGTTTTCTGTCTACATTTATCAAGTTAAACGTATTCGTATAATGAGATTTTATAATAACAACAGAATTTTTGTAGAAATATTAAGTTCGTTTCCCGTTTTTCAGATTGGTAGTTAGACTGGTCTGGTCAATGGGATTGTTTTTCCTATTGCTCAGATTCAGTTATACAATACTGATAGTCTGTACAGGGACTACCAAAATAGATGTACGCTTTATATAAAGTAGCTTATTATTTCACTGCCATCGTCATTTCCACGCCTTTACAATGATTACACACGGAAATAGTTTAATTTTTTTATAATATTTATTTATTATAACCATAACACAAAAAAATTAATAACAGGAATGGCCCCCAGACGCTTTATTGGCCGTGGCCACACGGTTCCTCAAAGATATCGAATTGACGGATCTAGAACGAGAAGCAGCGATCTTCCTATGCCAAGTATTCCATACCGACACCCAAGAGTTAACAAGGAAATTTTTGCTTCGCGTCAAAAGATATAATTACGTAACTCCAACAGCATATCTTGGACTCATCAGTATGTTCAAAGCTTTATTGTCTAAAAAGCGAAAGTGAGTTATCTATTTCTTATTGCCATCGTACATCTTACGTGCGTACAATATATAACCAGAAATAGAGACGAGATAAGGGTCATCTATCCCTGACAACTCATCAGGCAAATGAGCCTTAATCGCTTTTAAATATCAACTCTCGTTTGCGGTAAAATAACAAATTAGAGAACTGAAATAGTACAGCGCCAACAACTGACCTGTTGCGTACAACATAAAATAAACAGCGTAAAATATACGGAGCCGTAGCTCCGTATATTCCAAAAATGTTCTGTATTTATTTATTTGTTATTTTATTGTAATAAAGATAATATCTCTAACAATGGGGGTTGTTCCATTCGGCGGTGTGGGAAAGACAACAAAACGTCTAAATACAAAACAAGCGGAATCTCATTTCGTCGGTAATTAAATATGAAATATGTAATTTTGAAATTTTCATCCATTATAGAAAAGCTCAAGTTAAACTGATCGATTTGAACTGAAACAATTGACGACACCCGTCAATTGTTTCGACTTCGGGCTGGCCAAATGGAGCGCAGTTGTCACCATAATGATTTGACAGAATAGTTTTCAAACAAATTAAATGACATTCGTCTCTATTTCTGATTATGTAATCGATGGTTATTGTACACTTGTCATCTTTGACTTGACGTATCTTTACTAAGAAATAACGTATTACCAATCAGTGAGCTGCTATCAGGCGAGAAGAGGTATTTAACAGGATTAGATCAGCTAGCCATAGCGGCTAAGTCTGTAGCAGCGCTGCAAGAAGCATTGGTTCTCCTTCAGCCGAAGCTAGCCGCTGGAGCCGCAGCTGTAGCGGAAACTACGGCTAAAGTGGAAAAAGAGAAAGAAGGGGTTGCCTTGATTGAAGCCGACGTGTTGGTGGACCAGGCGGCTGCTGAGGAGCAGGTATGAGCATTTTAGTCTGAATCCTTTGTGATTTTATATAATTAATGACTCATGGTGCGTTCTGTGTTTCCACTTATGGGTACGCATATAACATCGTACAGAGCTAAAACCTGTTAAAAGCAAACTTTACTAATGTGATTGTTCACATTAGTGTTCTTCCCAAAGCCTAACCACATCCTACTTAAATAAATAACAATCACACATTATATTTCAATATTAAATTAATAATTAATTACCTGCTGTCTATTTGTGTATTAATCAAACTCTACAGGAGTTTACAGAGTTTTTTTTTGTCAAATTCATAATTTGATGGTTATGGCACAGTGTCAGGTTAGACTGTGTTATGGTTATGCTTCGTGGTTGCCCCTAGTGCCGCTAGAGGCCGCAAGTTGTTCCTTCCGGAACTTCGTCACATTCTACTTAATGAATAGTCATAACGTTCAATTACAAGTATATTTAATTAGTCAATCGATTAAACACTGAAAATGCGTAATGATATACATATACTCGCAGGTGCTGTAGTTATATGTTGCAATTAGAAATAGGTATTTATATTGAAAGTGGGTAATTTCATTGAATTTTGAAATTGAAATTTTGTGGTTACCAATTTCGCCACTAGGGTGAAACTACTGTGGGTGAAAAATAAGTTTTCATGACACCAAGTAACGGGACGAACAAGTCGTGCACCTGGTGGTAAGCGAGACACCAGTCCACAGCTGTTGCTGTGCCACTTAGCGTTTTATAACGCAAGATCTGATGGGCTGAGACAGTTGATATCCCATGTGCCTGTACTTTCACCAGCACCCTTACCTTTTAAAACTGGAACGCATTAATGCCCGCACTACTGCTCACATTACTGCTTGGCGGCAGAAATAGGTAAGGTGGCAGTACTTTCTTGAATGAACTCTTTCACAAGGAACTCTTCTGCTACTACTGCTTCAAAGCTTTTAAAGAAACGAAAAAGAGTCCATGTGCTTTTTTTGTTTTGTTGGAAGAATAAAACAGGTTTAACGGGGTTTTGCATCGGCCTTTTCCCCTTGTAACATATGTCTGCTTTCTGAACAGGCAGGAGAAGCCCAAGCTATCAAAGATGAATGCGATGCCGACCTAGCAGAGGCAATGCCAATTCTTAATTCTGCCTTAGCGGCTCTAGATACTCTGACGCCTCAGGATATCACCTTTATCAAAACCATGAAGAGTCCTCCAAGGGGCATTAAGCTTGTCATGGAGGCTGTTTGTATTCTGAAGGTAACGACGGTAGACTTTTTTAATTCCTATAAACAATCAGAAGACGACAAATCTATAAATACTTGTATATTAATTACCTTATTTACATTTACAATATAGTCATTTTATTTGGAGCAGTATGGGGAAACTCGAAACCATAGCAATTACACGGAAACTTGTATTATTATTAAATGAATGATTACGGAAATGAAACTATTTTCCGGATCTAAGTCTATTTCAATGTTTTCATTTCCAAATAGCTATTTCAAAAACCTAAGAATTCGATATTATTGGCTCTTTTATATGGAAGTTGCTTTGGCACATCTTTTGCGAATGAAACTATTTCTCGTTTTTTTTTCAAACAAAACAGCGTTTCGGGTCCTTTACAGCTCCAACAAGTCAGCCGCGACCATGGGACCTGTAAAAGGTCCGTAACGTTATTTTGTTCATTACCATTGTGTAACAATCGCGAAACCCTAAGAACTTGATTTGCTATACCAAGTTACATTTTTGGTGAAACGTAAATTGACTCATGTGAATAATGTTAGCATCTTTTCATTGTATTGAAAGAAAACAATGCGAACATTAAGTTACACACGGCGACTTATAGCAGCGATGCAAACGCGAAGCAGTAGTGATACAGTCGCTAATCGTCTACCTTTACACACGCGCGCGATTATAAGCAGCGATGCAAGCGTGCGACTAAACCGATACAAACGCGCGATTGCATCGCTACACATGCAATCGCGTATCTATTTTGCGTATATATTGTATCGTAAAGTCGCCGCATGTAACGACTCTAAGTTGGTCTTTAATACTTAGTTTTTCATGGAAATGGAAATTTACTTAAATAAGTATTGCTACTTGGCTACGCTTCGGTATAAGCAGGTATGGCCACGATTCGAAACATCTCTAGTATCTTTTGACAAAGACATGTTGTGAGTAATGTAGAAATGATAATCAACAGCAACTTTTATTTCCTGGTCGGTGTTCGGGATTTATAAACTTGACCCTTATCGTGTATAGACCCTTATCGTGTATAGCCATATACAAAAAGAAAAACAGACGTCGCAATGTCGGGTGAATGTGGTGACTATTTTATGGGACCATATGCCCGTTCCAAGCTCCGAAAAATGTTTATATCAAAATAGTTTTTACTATTGCGGCATCTTGTTGGAATAGTTTCATCCCTTTGATCTACGACTATAATTCAAAATATATTATTGTTTTTCACCATTTAACGCTACATGACGTATTTTTATGACGATTTTATCACGCTCGTAAAGGAAAATTGAAATTAATTATGCTCTATTGGTAATGTGTTTTGTATTGGTAAGTTAGTATTGCTTATTTGTATTGGTGCGTGTGAAACGTTGATTTGTTTGAAAAAATAAATATAAGCTATTTAATACGAAAAATGGTTTCGTTTTCCAACACGGAGCAATTGAGAAAACCCAAAAATTCGCTATTCCAAAATTATTTTCATAAAAAAGACTGAATGGCACCTAAAGGCGTCTTAAAATTAGATGCTTATAGAAGCGCGCCACTACAAATTTCATACAGTTTTTAAAAACGCAGTTGCAGCGCCACTATCGTGACACGCGCATGCCAGTTACAATTAGTGAGCTAAAAATTACTGAAGCGCCACAGTCGCGCCACTTCAGCGCTTCTACAAGCGTCTGATTTAAAGGCGCCCTAAGATAGTCTTACATTATCTGGTACAGTTTCAGATTTTCCTACACTATCCCAGCAAAAACAAAAAACTGCATTTACAATAATAGGCTACCCTCCTAAGGCCCCAAGTACATGAAAACATAATACGTGAAGTGATTCAGACCCAGACTATATTCATATAAATGCCAAATGCACATTGTAATAAAACTATCGCATTTAAATTCACCGCTGTATTTTATACTGCATAGGCTTTAACGTATATTGGGCGTTTAGCGCTTTTCCCATTATAATTTGCTGGGTCTTAGGAGGTTATACTAAACTGTTTGGTAATAATACGTATTGCCAGTCGGTCGTGTACAATTTACCGCTTAGAACATAATACGTAAATACCTTTTATTTTCGATTATATTTACGATATATTATCGGCGTTTCTATTATACCCCTGGATTGTAGTAGATCAAACAATGTAGTTTTCCTGAACTAGTTAATTAATTTAATCCATGGGTATAAACAAAACTGCAATAATATAATAGAACCTTTCATAGAGACTGAAAGGTTTGTCAGTTATTCTCTTCTCTTTATTATCTACCTCTTAAGTATGTGACTTACTCATACATTTTAAGATTTGCTTGTGATTTTTACTTTCAACGCTTTATCGGCAGTGGGACGATCCGGTAAGTTTGAGAAAATGTTGTTATAACTCATTTTTTTTCTATATTATCTACGTCGACTGCGTTCCATTATATAAATATTTATTTATTTTAATACACTCCTATATGTCCCCTACTTAACATAGATGTATGTACTTAACTTCGGTAAGTAAATTAAAAGAATAAAAATTAGAATTAGAGATTTAAATGAACATACAGGGTGGAAAAAATCAATGGGATATAAATGTATATTATTATATGTATATAAAGGGGAACTACCTCAAAACTTTTTTTTTTCTTAAAGGAAATATTCTCATTTTTTTATAATAAGAATAAGGCTCAACTCACACTGGCGCAGAGTCGAAGCGTCGCGTCGCGTCTTGTTTGTCAACTACAACGTCTGGCGACGCGGGTCGACGACACTCGCATTAGTGCGACCGGATCACAGTGTGGTCGGCGGCTTCTTTTCGGCGGCGGTTGCTTGGGCGTAGTGAGACGTCAGATCACTACGCCCAAGCAACCGCCACCGAAAAGAAGCCGCTCCTCTCCATATTTGCATAACACAAATTTATACCTTAATAAAGGGAAAATAAAGATGAATATGCTAAAGGCGAAAAACATGACACGTCGCAACGCTTTGACTCTGCGCCAGTGTGAGTAGACCCTAACTGCATTCACAGATTTTTTTGACCGGCTTACCTGAAGTCGAACCAACTTTATTGACCCAATGATTACGGCAATTCTCGGATTAATGTTCACTATCTAATTTCCGTGTCAATTTTTATTATTTGAATATGAAATAATATTTAACGATACTCGAATGTTAAAAATATTGCACGATAAAAAATCTATTACTTAAATAATAAAAATTGCTACGGAAATTAGGTAGTGAACGCTAGTCCGAGAATGATTGGTTATTGGAGAGATTTTATATGATCGCATCGATTAGTTCATTGAAATAGAGTTTATTTTGTGCATTTTTAGTTGCTTCGACCCTCTGCCCAGGTAAGCTTTTCAAAAAATCTGTGAATGCAGTCATTTCTATTAAGAAAAATAATATAATGTTTCCTTTATTTTATTTTTATTTTTATTTATTTATTGTATTTATTACATTTAAAAGTATTAAAAAACAAAACATTCCAGTATAACATAAACTTAACTAAGTTTTTCTGTATACCGCTTTAAGTACAGTAAAACAGCTGAACAGCGAAACATGGCAGTTAGTTTCTGTACATGTCCCATTGAATTTTTCCCTGTATTCATTTACTTTATAGTCAATGATTATATTAACAAATGACAAACAATTACTAGTTAATAGTTAATGTAGGGTAAGCAAAGCGAGTTTGAGCATGTTTTTTCTAAAGAAATAGGAAACAACGAAAAATTATTCCGAAGTCAAACTCAAACAATCTGTATTTCATAGCACATTACACTTGAAATTGTCATACTGATTAAACACTACTGCTTATTTGTAATTTCCCTGAGAAGTATGAGCAAGAAATTTAAATACATTTATCATTACTATTTATTGAATTTAAACATCTTAGATTGAGACTACCCGCAAGAGCTAAACGTGTCACTATCACGAATTTTTGTCATTCAAGTACAAAAAAGCTGTATAATAAACCTAGAGTGTAAAATTTTTGTTTCACTATAATTTTAAACCCCGTTAATGGCAAATTTTGAATATCAGTCGAAATCTTATTATAGAAGACGCTTTTATTTATATATTAAAGACGATTTACACTGAAATATAACCAGGGAAATACTCTACCTAAAGCTAGATTAGTCATGAATGTATGATAAAGTGCAGTATTTTACAGTCACTAAGAAATTTTGGTTGTTCTTGCACAGGAAATGAAACCTGACAAAGTTCCAAATCCATCCGGCGTGGGAACAATAGAAGACTATTGGGGTCCATCAAAAAAGTTGCTCAACGATATCAAGTTCCTGGAAGGCCTTCAGAATTACGACAAAGATAATATTCCTCCGCCTGTGATGAAGAAACTGATGACAACTGTTATGCAAGACGAAGCATTTGTGCCGGAGAAGATGCGAGTTGTCTCCATCGCTGCTGAAGGTAAAAAATCTTTCTCGCTTGTTGCTGTTACTTTCGTGCATTGATGAATTTAGCATCATTGGTGTAGTAAGAGCACATGACAGGCTTGAGCAACCTTCTGCAAAATGACAACTTTTCAGACAACCTCTCTAGGTTTAAAGATTCTACGATAAGAAATTGAACAAAGTTATTTGTTCAATTCGAACAAAAATTTTATGAATGAAATAGGTTATATAAAACAAGTTCCGTGTTTTACGTTAATAAGTTTAAATATTTATTCGTCATTTATACAAAAAAAAATAAAAGGTTTCGACTGTATGTAATTCTTATTCAATATTTCAAAAACTTGAATGTTTCTGGAATTATTCACAGGCATGTGTAAGTGGGTAATTGCGATGACAAAGTACGATAAGGTGGCCAAAGTGGTGGCACCTAAGAAGCAAAAGTTAGCTGCAGCGCAAGCTGTCTACGACAAGGCCATGGCTGCTCTCGCCGTCAAACAAGCTCAACTCGCTGAGGTTTGTCATCCACAAATGCCACAGCAGCCGTTTAAAAAGTAACAATAAGTCGTTCGATTAAAAAAGTACATTATTGAACAAGGATTATGTGCGTTTTTAGATTCAAGCAAAATTAGGGAAACTCGAAGCAGCTCTTGCGGAACAAAATAGGCAACAAAAGTTGCTCGACGATGAAGTAATGGACTGCAGCAATAAACTAATGCGAGCAAAGATGTTGATCACAGGTCTGGGCGGGGAGAAAACTCGATGGACTCAAATTGCTAAGACCTTGAGAGAAACTTACAATACCCTCACAGGTTAGACTGTAACTAAAAACTGAATTGTAAAAAGCGCTGATTTTTAGGAACCGGCTCTTTAACAATATTTATATTTCTAGGTGATATTCTAATTGCAGCTGGTATTATTGCGTATCTTGGACCATTTACATCGGCATTCAGAATTGAACAAGTAAGTGACACTTAAATGAGTAAAATCTTTTTTGCCCGATTGAAAAGAAATCAGAACTATTTAAAGAATATAAAACAAATACATTTACATTATAAAAAACTGTTTTATTTCTAAGTGCCAACATTTTCAAAACTGATGTCTTTATTCTAAATCGAAATTGATGAGGTTACTTTATTAGGCTAATTATGCAATATGAACAAGGAATTTTTTTTATTTACCTCAGATTACAAAACACTGTATTAATATCTCCAGATAAAGCCCAATCTTGGCGAGATCGTTAAGAAACTGAGAAAACGTATATTAGAAATATAGCATTAGTGTGATACTGTATTTAAATAATTTATTAAACAGCAAAAAATAAAAATCTGAATTAAGGATCTTATCATATACTGAGGGCTGTCATCTGGGTGAAAGCAAAGTTGATGTTACTCGTAATGTTACAATTACGTGTACAACTGAATCGTTTTGTCACGTCGCCTTATCATTTCGTTGATTTTGATATCAATCGAAATTTTTCATCATACATCTTTGAATGTGTGCTGTTGACAGTACAGCGATTCCTTGTCTTGTTTTTAGGTAAAGTCATGGGCGCAAGCTACGCACGATCAGGGTGTGGTGTGTACGCTCAATTTCAGTTTAACAAAGTCACTGGGTGACGCTGTCGCCATTCAACAATGGAACATTGACGGCTTACCAGCCGACGACTTCAGTGTGGAAAGTGCCATTATTATCATGTAAGAATTCATTGCATGTTTAAAGTGAAGTCATATTTAAATTGTACCTAGGTACAGAGTTTTTTGTTTAAGAACATTTGAGATAATTTTTAATACAAATATTCGATATTTGACATAGAAAAATTCCTTCGACCTGACGAGACTCGAACTATGCTCAGGTTCGAATCAGATTGAAGAAATTTTTCTTTATGTACCATCTTTGTATTAATATAACAAACTATTATAGTGGGATATTTCACAATAAATTAAATTAGTACCACTTCAATAAATTTCAACATTTAAAGATTCTGAATTTTGTGAATGATTTTACTTAGGAATTCCAAAAGATGGCCACTAATGATTGATCCCCAAGGCCAAGCGAATCGCTGGATTAAAAACACGGAGAAGCCAAACAACTTAATGGTCTGTCGCATGACTCAGGCTGATCTGGGGCGTGTGCTTGAAAACGCTGTACAGTTCGGACAACCGGTAATTTTTTCACAGTATTTGATCTCTAACTGACCTCAAATGGCTTTGGATGATTCTGCGTGACAGTGAAAGTGTTGAAATCAATCACTTTTGAAAAATTATGTAATAAATTTGAGCATATGCACTGATTAGTATACGGTCTGATAACACGGTTCCTAAAAATTTTCACAATAGAAAAAAAAACGCAAGTTTACCTCCAAATTTTAGAAAAAAAAAACGCTGTGTTCAACAGAAACCTGAACTAAATCGAACACGTATAGTAATACGAAATACATTTTTCAAGTCGTTTTAATTTCATTTGCAAAAAAATAAATTCTGAAATAAAACTAGTGTAAGTAGTAAACCCTGCTGGTCGACCCAAGCAAAATGAACCGTATTAGTTAGGGAAAAAATTGAATTCGAGCTGAGGTAGTATTTACTCGTTAACACTGAAGTGATCACATACAATAAAGTATAGAATGGTTTTGATAAATTTACTACTTCACTGGTCGATGGCAATAAATTTCAGGTGCTTCTTGAGAATGTGCTGGAAGAGTTAGATCCCATGTTAGAACCTTTACTTCAACAACAAACGTTCCGTCAAGGAGGTGCGCTATGCATCAAGATTGGCGACTCTGTGGTGGAATATAGCAAAGACTTCAAGTATGTCGGTCTTATTATAGGTATATTCTTTATTGACATTGACGTAGTAGTATTGACATTTGTAATTAATTTAATCAACAGATTATATATAAGCACAAAGCTAGCTAACCCGCATTATCTGCCAGAGGTTAGTGTTCGAGTAACCTTGGTGAACTTTATGCTTGCAAAAGATGGTTTGCAAGCTCAGTTACTGGCACGTGTAGTTGCCCGCGAGCGTCCAGATTTGCAGCAAGCTAAGTCAGAGTTGACTACACAAGGTGCGGAGCACAGGCGGCTGTTGCAGGAAATTGAAAAGAAGATACTTACTGTACTATCTACATCAGAACATTTATTGGAAGACGAAGAAGCAGTACAGGTCAGTGCTATGAAAGTTTCAATTAATTAATTTATATGTTGATGGTAAATGAGAATGACCAATGTTTTCTTTTATCAGATTCTTAATTCTGCAAAAGATACAGCCAATGAGATTAAAGAAAAGCAAATAGTGGCTGTGGAGACTGAAAAGGCTATAGATCTGGCTCGTGATAACTATGTGCCCATAGCGGAACATTCTACTAATTTGTTCTTTCTTATCGGTAAACTAGATTTTCAAAATAATCTTCAAGTGTTGTTATACATAGGTTACCTATCAGTAGTCCGAAATGACATTTTCCAGAAATAACGTTTGCTCGAATTTTCATAACCTCGAAAGTAATTTTGAGAGGAAAATGTATGTTTCTTTTAAACCTAACTTAACCTAACCTAACCGAACCTAATCGTGTCTTTGCGATAAATAACCAACATATCCTGAAAGAACAACGATTCTGATATTATTCGGTTTTCGGTGTAATGAAAATTCGAATAAACGTTATTTCGGAAAAAAATTCGACTTTGTGATAGATTGCCATTGTTTTATATCGTGTTACGAATAGATCGTAGAAAATTCACTTCTAAAAATGTGGATTAGTATCTGAATCTTCAATTTTCTAGCTTCCATGGCGCAAATTGATCCTATGTACCAGTACTCATTGGCTTGGTTTGAAGGTCTGTTCACGGCTTCCATTGACAATACTGAGAAAGTAGATGAAATTTCGGAGAGGCTCGAGATATTACGTGCTTACTTCACTTTCTCGCTTTACAACAATATCTGTCGCAGTTTGTTTGAGAAGGTATACATAATGCATTTTCCATTCCTAATTCTGGAAATAAATAAAAATATATTTATGAATAATTTTAAATCTCATTGTTGAGTTTAGTAAGACGTAGTAGCTTAATGGTTTGTCCTACGGCCTCTCAAGCAGGTGCAGATGGTTCCAATCCAGATGCGCGCATCTGAGTTTTCGGAATGTATGAGTGAAGTTTAACTTAATTCAAACTTTACCGTAAGCTTTTCGGTGAAGGAAGGCATCAGGATAAAACCTGCACGTCGAAAAAGGTTCATAACCCTCGGAAAACATGTGACGTCCCCAACCCACATTGGGCTAGCGACTGTGGTGGACTATTACCTTAACCCTCGCCTGAGAGGAGGCGCGTGCTCAGCGGTGGGACATATAAATGGGTTGATGACGATGTTGATGATTATTGATTTAAGTCGTAAGTTAAAATTAACAAGATTTTCCAGAAAGTGTTTTTTTACGCTTTTTTTTCATTCCCGCCACGGAAACCTTACGTTATACTTAAAAAAAAGTTGATCAAAGTTTTCTAATTTCCTTTTCCTGTTTACAGGACAAAATGGTATTCTCGTTGTTACTAACGGTGACAATACTGGTGAACGAGGGTAAATTGGATCAGAACAACGTGATGTTCCTTTTTGGCGGCGGCCAATCACGTCACGTGCCTCCGAATCCAGTTTCCTTCCTAAGTCCACAGGCTTGGTCTGAGTTTTGCGCGTCAGTTTTCACTTTTATATACAACTACAATTATTCTGCCACATTGAAAAATGTGCTAAACATCGTAATTGTATCGAAACTTGTTAGTTTCTTTTATGGCACCAAGTGACGGGACGAACAAGTCTTGCGCCTGGTGGTAAGCGACACGCCTGTCCCTAGCAGTTGCAGTGCCACTCAAAGATCTGAGGAGTACTGCCACTGCGCCCGTTACCCTAAGATGCAGTTGACAAGTCCCATGTATCTGTAATTTCGCACAGCTTGTCACAACCGGAAAACAGTAATGATCACGTTACTGCTTTGGGGCAGAAATTGGTAAGGTGGCAGTACTTGCTGGGCGAATTCTTTCACAAGAATCTCTTCTGTTTCTTATCTATACATGTGTAAATGTATACATATTTAAATTTACGTAATATATGCGTACCGTCTACGTATGTACATATATATTATATATATATATATATGTGTGTATATATAATAGATAAGAATAGAATAGAATAGAAAAAAGAAGATACGTCCACATATATATATACGAATATACATCCACATACAACACGTATACATTATACACAGACACACAGACACACACACACACACACACACACACACACACACACACACACACACA